CTTGGTAGTCGTTGAGAATAAGTCCCAAAGCATGTGAGTGATGGCCTCAAAATATACAAATCCATGAGAGATGATACAGAGCTTCCCCTAAAATCATTCAGTCGCTCTCACTCACTTGCATTCAGCCTGATAAGCTTTCTTAAGGAGAAAGGGATGGGATGACATCTCTCTTGTTACAAACTGTGTCTAATACTAGGTGTCCCCATGAGAACATGACACCAATAGGAACACCTTGTGGCAGTAGACAGATCAAGTTGTGTGTGTGTACACTTCCATACATAAAACAAATGCAAACATTCATACTGTAGTTGTTAAGTAGATTGACTGCTATAGGAACTGAATCTTCAACACATCTGCTCTCTAAGTCCCTGGTTGGCCTGACTCATTGAAAAGGGACCAGCAAAGAATCATTCCACTGTGTCCACCACAGGAGTCAATGTTGACATTGGAAGACTGGGCGGGACAGTGGCTATGCGGGCGGGCTCATGGGACAGACTGCCGTGGCTGGAATCCCAGCTCTATCGCCTACTAGCCCTGAGCTAGTGAGGACGTCTAACCTCTCTCTTCCTCTGTCTTCTCATCTACAGAATGGAGGTAAGGAAAGCTCCTACCTCATTAGGGTCATGAGGAATAAAGGAGTTAACTCATGGAAAGCATTCAGAGTAGTGTTGAGCACATACTATGTGCTCAAAAATCAGCTAATATTAAACTGACATTCCTTAAGGTGAGATCCCTCCCCCTGTGCACATACATACTCCAGTTTTCTTAACCCCCTCTGACTTCTCCATGCACCAGAGTTGGATTCATAAAGCTAGATTTTCTTCCTCTTTTTCTCCCAAGGGGAAAAAAATATAATTTACATCAACCCTTTTTTTTTCCTTCAAAATGTTCAGAGAGTGAAAGTAATAAAATATCCTACCAGCCCACTTGAATGAAGACGAGGCATAATTTGCATGATAAAGATATATTTCCATTTATAAAGTTCATCAGCAGAATTAATGACAAATAAAGGGAAGATCCAATTAAAGTTCCCCATCTATTAACAATCTTGCTTCAACTCTCAGGGCAGGAATTTTCAAAGGAGAGGCTGAAGTTGGAAATGATTTAAATATTAAGGTTGGTGGCATTAAAAAGGACACGAAATGATCATATTAGAATTCAAGGAAAAGAGATTTTCCAGTGATTTTTGTCATCAGAGTCAGACGCATTTTCCCCCAATCCCAGTTCCACAGGCGTTTTCTTGTTCACCCAAATGAGCTGTCAAGAGCTGATGGGCGTCATCATAATCAAAGAAAACAAGTTTGCCCTTTAAAGCATAAGAGGTAATTTGGCTGAAAGCAAATTGGAAACATTTCATAACACGTTGCATTTCCAGCCGCCGTCCCTGAAGAATTCGGGAGTTTTGATTTATGCCTGGGAGCTTTGGGGGACAATGGGAAGACGTGCATGCATTAAGCACTTTAGTCACATCTGTCCTGTGGCCGTGGGGCAGAGGTCCTTCATCCTCAGAGAGGGTGGTCCGTGGCTGCCCAGAGAGCGTTCTTTTTGGGAAAAGCCTTGATGGAATTCGCAAGACTGAAAAGGAGCCGGCTTTGGGCGGGGATGGCAGAGGTGCCCCCCGGGCTGGGCGCTCAGTGGCCAGAGGCTTCGGATCTGGGACCGCTCTGGCTGGCCCGGAACAGGGCAGCCTCTGCGCCCGATCGGGCTGCCTGTCTTCCCAGTATTTCGTCACGTGGGGTGTTTCTTGGATTCCCTCTCCTCCCCTCTGTTTACACTTCGGTTTGGAGGGCTTGAAGATCTCCTCTGTGACTTTAGATAGCACTTCCTTCTCCTTTGCGTTTCTCTCTCCCTCCCCACGGGGCTCCCTGGAGCCCCCTTGATCTTGTGTTGTCAGGTGTCTAGACCATGTTCGCCAGCTCGGGCTCTTTGATTGCGAGCACCGGCAGCGGACCCGGCTAAACAAGATGGCGATGGGGAAGCTGAGGACTAGGCCTCAGCCAGGAGCGCAGCGGAGGGGGTTCTGGGGACGTCGGTAGCACGTTCTTCAGGGACCCACCACTGGCACCCATCGGCCCCCACCCTTTCCCCACCACGGTCTCTTTTCAGAATTCCCAGTGGAGAGAAAGCAGGTCCCACCAAGACTGCGCAGGATGGGAGAGACGACGCGTTTCTCCAAGGGGAGCTGGGCCGCTATCACCCGACAGAGAGGAAATGGGTTCTAGGAAGGCCGGGACGTCGGGTCCACTGTCCAGTCCACTGTCCGCTCTAGTTATGGCAGCCTCTGGGCGCTGAGCACCAGGTCCAGAGGGCATCTCTCTCCTTCCCACCCAATGCCTGTGCTTCTTGCAGAACTCCGTGGGTTTCAAACTGAGCTCTTTGTCCTCCCTAGCAGACTTCCTCCCCCAGTTTCCCTAGTGACTCGAGGGCCCCAGCATTCTCTCCCAGCCAGCCGCGCTCCAAACTTTCTCTCAGCAAGTCCTGTGATCCTTCCCTCTTTGGATTTTCATTGGCTTGAACTGCGCCTGTAGCCACTCCTCACAGTAAAGGAGGCTGAGAAGGGGAGCAGGAAGTATTTCCAGCCTCTACACTGCGGGCAAGCAAGAGGGGAGGGGCGTGGGATGGGGGAGGGCACCTGCTTAACATTCTGACAACCTGTCGTGAGAATTCGACCAAGGCTGGAAGCCCAGGAAAGTCTTCCCTGAAAAAGTGGCGCTTGAACTGAGATCTGAGTATGAGGAATTAATTTGGCAAGAAAGAGAGAGAGGTGCATTTCAGGAAAACAAAACAAAACAAAACAGGAAGTACAAAGGCCCTGAGATGGAAGGTTTATAGTAGCTCAATTTCTCTTCCTGCCCCCAGCCTTCCCCTACAAATCATCTGTACAGCAGATCTTTTTCAAAAATCTAATTTTATCTTGTCACACTTTTCCTGCCGTCACTCCAGTGTGGAATAGGCCATCATCTCGTCCTGTTCTGTGACTACAACTTTATTCCCTTCCTCCTGCGGTTGTCGGCCCTTCACATGTGCCTGTTTTATATATCCCGAACTAGGTTATAAACTGTGGGAGAGCAGGAGCCAGGCCTCGCTTCTCTTTCATATCCCCAGGGGCTCAATAAAGACCAGAACAGATGACTCTAGGGAGCATCTTTACTTCAGGGAGCAGGAGCAGATGTAAGCAGGCCAGTTAAGGAGCCCTTTAATCATCCCAGTGAGCGATTACAGGCCCTCAGTGGCAGAGAGGCTGCTGGGAAGGAAGGATATGGATTGGGAGCCTTCAAGGAGAGAACACAGGTGGAACTAGGTGGCAGATGGGACATGGGGGTAAGGAGGAGTGAGGGGTGGCACTCAGGTTTCTGACTGTTGCAGCCAGGATGGCTGGTCATCAAGACAAAGGATAAAGAAGGAGCAGGATGAGGGATGGGCACGTGGTGGGGTCCGTGTTAGACATGCTACGCCGGGAGCCCGGCCCATCCTGGGCAGTCGGCGTCCGTCAGACACACCCGGACCTCCAGCGGGGCCCAGGGACTCAGACTGGGGAATCACTGAAGTCCTGGACTTGGGATTTCAGTTTCCCTAATAATATTAGGGAAATAATAATATTAGTTACTGTTGCTTGAGCACTCACAATGTCCAGGCCCTGGGCCGGAAGCTTCCCATCCAATCTGAAGATCCCCGTCCGATGGCCGATGAAGCCCAGGCTTAGGGGGATTTTAGATAACCAGCCCAAGGCCCCCCAGCAAGGAGCTGAACCCAAGTGGGGCCACAAAAAGATGGTTCTCTTAGCCATCATGCCAGGTAGGCAATGTAAGTGACTGATCTCTGATTGCCCCCATAGATTTTTCTGAAGCAGTCTTTTAAAAAGGCTTTTTATTTTGCCATAGATGTAACTTTACAGAAAAGTTGCAGAGTATGGAATTCTTGTGTGCCCTTCATTCAGCTCCCCCTACTGTTAATGGCTTACATAACCAGGGCATGTCTGTCCAAACTAAGAAATTAACATTGATACAATGCAGTTGACTAAACTATCCACTTGATCTGGATTTCACCTTCCAGAATCCAACCCCTGATGCAATGTACACATTGTATTTTGGAGGCATTGTTCATCCCACTCTGATTTTTAAAATCCACAGTTAGCCCTGGCTGGTGTGGCTCAGTGGTTGGACGCAAACTGAAAGGTCGCCAGTTCGATTCCCAGTTGGGGCCCGTGCCTGGGTTGCGGGCCAGGTCCCCAGTGGGACGCGTGCGAAATACCAGGGCAGGTGTGCTGTGCTGGTCCCAGCCCTGTTTGCTCTGTCCCTGTCCTGCTCTGCAGCAGGCTGCCTTGCCCAGGCCCCCTTGTCAGTTGGTTCCTCAATGGCTTTGACCAATGGGAGACCCTGGTATTAGATTGGGAGGGTGGGACTTAGGAAGAAACCAAAGCATTTCTTCCCTCTTTGCATTGGCTCCGTTTCTGGCAGTGGTCACAGGCCCTCTGGTACTGCAGCTCCTCCTGGACAGGAAATGACTGTGGTTCCAGCTTCCGCTTGGTGGCCACAATCCTGAAGCTCACCACCTCCTCCTTCGGAGTGGCTTGCTGCCACTAACAGTTGCTGGGCTGGGATGAAGGGTGCACCCCACCTTGCCCCAGGTGGCCTCTCAACTCTTCCATCTCCTGCATTTAAATACTTAGAATGACGTCAGCATCCTGGTGGGCCCCGCCTGACCCGTGTGCCCAAGACCCACCTCCACACTTGGCTCTCCGGCCTTTGTAGCCCAGACACAAAGCTACAAACTGCTTCCAGTGAGAAGTTCTGTATAAATCTGCCAAGCGCCTAAGGTGAATCCCCAATGTCAAGTTTATGGTTGCTCTGGCCGAATCAGCCATGCCAAGGTCTGCACAGCCCTACTAACCGCTACCTCTTTCCTTTTTCAGGATATCTAGGGACACCAAAACAGGAGACCTGTCTAGTCTACCAACGTCTCAATTTTCCAGGGCAGACACAGAGAAGGCTGCTCATAAGATGGCTTTGGACATCCTTGCTGTGGGCGCTCTCTACCAAGGCCCTAACATCAACAGAATAAGGCCTATGGCAGAGGCATCCAAAAAGCCGGGCTCCCCGCTTAGAGCCCTGGTCCCCTCTAAGACCAAACTCACCACCATTGAGACCAAGAGGATCATGTCCATACTGGATGAGACCATCCACAAGGTGGAGCTGGTGACCCTCCTCTCCTGTGTGACATCCAATAGAGAAGATCTGGAGGGAGGGCTGGGAAGGGACATTGCGAAGGCCGTGAGGGAGCATGAGGACCTCTGCCAGGCCCTGCTGGGCAAGGTCAGTTACCTGCGGGATGAAGAGCGGCGGATGCAGGAGGAGGAAGAGTTCGAGGACGAAAGGTGGTTCCGGGACCGCCGCCTCTCCCTGGAGCAGCAGAAATCCCACCTCCTGTCACTAATGCAGCAGATCAAAGAATCCACCAAGAACGTCCTGCGACTCTTGCTCGGCAACCCACAGGCTGCCCGGCTCTTGCAGATGCAGGCACCGGGGAGAAGCGCAGGAGCCCAGAGCTTTATCGATAGCCTGGTAGAACTCCGGGGCTTCCTGTTTGAGAAACTACTCACTAGTCCCATGGAAGCTAGGGACAAGGCTCAGTTCATACAGGATGTCACCAGACGAAACAAAAGGAACCAAGAAACCATTGCTGCTCTGGAGAGCGAAGTGGCGGCGAGAATGAAGGACAGGGATACAGAGGTACGGCTTGCAGGGCTGGTCAAGTTACGGAGGGAGCCACGCCGGGGAGCCCGAAGCTGTGGGCAGTTGGGTTTTTCCCCCAGTGACCTGAGTAGATGTTTTCATTCATTTGTTCCATAAATATGGTTTTGAGTCCTTAGTAGGTGCCAGGTCTCATAAATAAGCCCACGTGGTCCCAGACTCCTGGAGTTCACAGCAAGGAAGGTAGGTCTCAGAGAGCTGATTTAATTAGTTTTGAGACATGCAATGATGGGTAAGTATAAGACTCTATAAGGGAGGGCTACAGGAGGGCTGAACAAGGAAGGTGAAACCAAGGCGTGAAGAATGAGGAGGAGTAAGCCAGGCAGGTGAGAGAGGGCGGAAGTTTCTGGGCCTGGCTAGGCACACTTTTTCTTTCTTTTCCTTTCTTTCTTTCTTTCTTTCTTCTTTTTTCTTTTCTTTTCTTTTCCCTCCCTTCCTTCCTTCCTTCCTTCCTTCCTTCCTTCCTTCCTTCCTTCCTTCCTTCCTTCCTTTCTTCTTCCTTTCTTCCTTTCTTCCTTTCTTCCTTTCTTCCTTTCTTCCTTTCTTTCTTTCTTCCTTTCTTCCTTTCTTTCTTCAAATACATTTGTCTCCAGGCACACTTTTTCTTCCAAGGTCTGGATAGTAAATATTCTAGGTTTTGGAGGCCAGGCTCTCTCAGATGCAACTGCTGAACTCAACTCTGCCATTATAGTGTGAAAACTGTAAGCAATCTGTAAACAAATGGGCTATGTTCCAATAAAACTTTATTCACAAATACAGGCGGCCAGCCAGATTTGGCCTGTGGGCCTTTGTTTCCAGGCCTCTGCCCAAGGCCTGATCAGCCTCTGAAGTATGTGTACAAAATAGCCCCATCCTCTTCCCTCATTTCTATTTGTGAATGAACTGAGGGCAGGGGACAAGCCAGGCCCTCAAGAAAGAGCGGGTGGCAGTCGTGCACCTTCGTGCATCACGCTGTGTTTCCGCCATCTGCATGCCCCCAGCAGGAGTGTTGCTGCTGTCCCCAGCCTCTCCTGTGGCCTCGCCCTGCATACCTGTGCCCTTCAGTCCTGCCAGGAAATAGAGGGCGGGGACCAAGAACCGGGGCTCTGGATCACAGACGGACCGGGCTTCAAATGCTGGCTCAGCATTTGTGATTCATTGTGTCCCTAGACACAAGGCTCAACCCCCTTCAGCCTCAGTTTCCTCACCTGGACTCAGGGGGGACCCTGTGCCCGTCAGGGCTGGGGTGGGACCAGCGAGGTGATGACGCAGTGACAGCCATCTTCTCCCTGTGGAGATCCATGGTCATGCAGGCGTTAACGGAGCCTCTCTTCCTGACCCAGGTGGAGAAGGAGAACTTTCTAATCCAAGAACTGAAAAACGAACTGCACCAGGTGCTCAAGCTCTCGGATGAGAGCCTCTATCGCACCAAGCGGGAGGCCGAGAAGCAGCAGAAGGGGGACTTCCGGGCCTCCCAGGCCAGGGTGGCCAAGATCCAGTGGGAGATCCAGCAGCTGCAGTCCCAGTTCCACAGCCTGGTCATGGAGAACCGGGAGGCAGAGCAGGCGCTGCGGAAGGTGCCCTGGGAGGCGGGGAGGAAGGAGGTCCAGTGTGTAGGGCAGGGCTGCCCCCGCCACCCAGGGAGCCCAGGGCTGAGCCACTGTCCCTCGGGAGGCAGGAGGGTGCAGCACACAGGCCCAGGGGCAGAGGGACGGGGCCCTGTGCTGCTGCCCCAGCTCTGTGACCTTGGGCACGACCCCAACCCCTCTGAGCCTTGCAGGGGCATGAAACCCACCTTGCCGGAAACCGTGCAAGGAACAGAAGGAACACATGAACCTCAGGCCATTCTCCCTCCGAGCCTCTGTTTCCACATTTTAAAAATGAAAGCGATCAAATGCGTCTTCACGGGTTACTGTAAGAACTGAAGGAGAGGATAGGCAGAGGGCTGGTGCAGAGTGGGTGCTCAGTAAGTACCATTTCCCCATGGGTCTTCTCTGTCAGCTCAGCCAAGAGCCCGGCCCAGTGGGTGCCAGCTCGATCCTAAGTCCCTTTCCTCACGAAGGGCCCCTTTCTCATCCTTGCTCCTGGTTTCGTTTGGTGTCACGACTCTTTTGAGCATCTGATGGAAGCCAAGGGCCTCCCCCTGTAAAAAATGGTAGCGCGTATTCACACTGGCAGACAGTCCTGGGTGGGGGTCGCAGGCCCCCTATGCCCGCCCATGCATGGTGCCCACGCTACGGATTCTGGCTCTGCAGCATCAGGAAGCTGATTTATTACTATTTTTAAATTACGGAGAAATTCACATGGCATAGAATGAGCCATTTTAAAGTGAACAGTTCAGGAGCATGTAGTACATTCAGTGTTGCACAACCACCACCTCTGTCTAATTCCCAAACATTTGTATCACCTCAAAATAAAAGCCCACACCCATTAAGCAGTTCCTCCCCTCTCCCCCCACTGCAGCCCCTGACAACCACTAATCTCCTTTCTGTCTCTATGGATTTGTCAGTTCTGAACATTTCATGCAAAAGGAATCACACAACATGCAGCCTTTTGCGCCTGGCTTCTCTCACTTGGCATCATGTTTTCAAGGTTCATCCCCACTGTAGCATGTACTGGTACTTCATTCCTTCTTGTGGCTGAATAACATTCCATTGTGTGGACAGGAGCTGATCTTTCAAAAGCAAAATTAGATCACGTCCCTCGACTGCATCTAAATCCACCTAATGGCTTCCCTCCCATCCTCGCTGGGACCTCGCTCCTCAGCCCCTTCATTCCAGCCAGTCCGGCTCCGTTTCTGTCCTTTAAACACCACAAGCTTGTTCCCACCACAGGGCCTTTGCACCTGCTGCTCCCTCTGCTTAGAACGGGCTGGAGCCAGATGCCGGCTTCGCTCATCAGCTCCATGACCCTGCGGCCCGGAGCACGCTTGTTTGCGCGCTGCCCTTCAGCATCCTTGCCTGTGAAGGGGAGGGGAGCCTGCGCCGTGTGGATTCATAGGCGAGGCATGCAAAGCACCCACCTCAGGCCAGCTGGCATGGGGAGTGCTTGGTATTGTTGGTCGTTAATACTAGTTCATTAAACAGTGACTAATGGGAGTTTTTAAAAAATTCTTTTAGAAGAAGTATAAAGTGGAGACAGAAATCGAGAACTGGATCCAGAAATACGATATGGAGATGGGCGAAAAGCAGGTATTGCCGCTGCATGAGTCTCTCTCAGTTGTATTTCCCAAGATCCTCTAGGAATGCGGGGATGGGAGGAGAGGCCCCCGGTGGGCCATGGTCTTAGCCAAGTTCTGGGCCTCCCCAGAGAGGCCTTGGAACAGGGGCCTGCCGCAGGCCCTTCCCTGCTCCCTCCTTGGGCTCCAGGGTTTGTCTAGCCTGGGGCAGTGAGGGGAGAGGTGGGAAAGGAAGGATCCAGAAGCTGTGAGCCACCAAGAAGTGCTCGACCGTGGGCCCAAGGAGCATGGCTCCATCTAGTGTCCACTTCCCGCGCTCTCTGGCCTTCCTTGCCCAGCCCCTACCAGCTCCCAGGCCAGGGCTCACCCCCGCAGGACTCAGCCGAGATCCTGCCTCCACCTCCTCACGCCAGCGCTCAGAAAACGTCCTCTTGAATGCCTGGGGAGTGCCAGGTGCTGGGATACAGCAGGGAAGGAAGGCCCCGTTGCCAACCGGAGGTTCTGCTCTAGTGTCACTTACCAGCTGCGTGACCTTAAGCAAAGGGCTTGACCTCTCTGAGCCCTTCTCTGCACGTTATCAATAGAGGCCATCATACCCATGCTGGGGCCGTGGTGGAGATGCATGAGGCGCCATTGTTGCCAAGTGCTTGTACCCGGCACGGGATCTCTGGCCTGAAGGAAGTGCTCAGAGAATGGTAGCCTACGATGCGGGGTGTCCCCAAGCCCTCCACCCAGCTCTGTGATCTGCTCGGTGGCCCAGGGCCTCCACTTTGGGGCCAGGGAAGGAAGCCTGGTGAGCGTTGGAGGAGACGCCAGCCCCTGAGCGGGCCCAAGTCAGGCATGCTGCTCAGAGAGGGCACGTCAGGGACTGGCTGGCAGATCCTGAGTGCTCCAGGGCGGGGACACCTTGGAGGCTTGCTCTTATTTCTCTGGTCCCAGTGAGGGGCTTGGCTTCCTGGTCACCTCTGTGCCCTCTGAACGTGCTTCACTTCTGGCAGATGCTTGGCAAACGTTAGTGGAAGGGCAGCTACAGTTAGACACAAGGAAGAACTGTGGGCCTCGGTCCCCGGGGAAGGCTCGACTCACTGTATCTTTGTGAATCGGACAGCCTCAGTGGCAGCGATTTTATGTCCTCGCGTGTGCCTGTCACTGCACACAGTCATTGTGACCATCCCATCACTTAATCCTGGAAACAGCCCTCACCCACCCCCTTCCTGGATGTGGAACAGTCCCCGTGTTTCAGAGAAGGAAAAATGAAGGCCTGAAAGGGGAAGCCCATCCAGGCATGGCTGAGCTGGGGTGTGCGCTCCCTCTGGCCTACCCACAAGCCGTGTTTTTCCCCATCCCAGAACTATTTCAGTCCGCTCCCGCCCCGGGCTAGGACGGACCTCCTCTCCCACTCTCACCCGGGCCTTGGGGGCGGGAAGCCTTAGTGCAGGTGGCAGCGCCGGGGCGGAAGCCCCTTTGGGAAGGGTGGGGGTGCACTCAGAGGAGGGGCAGGCGGGCCCGATGCCTGGTGACCCCCCCAACCCTCCCCAGGACGAGTACGAGGAGCTGGACATCATCCACAAGGAGGAGAAGGTCCAGCTGGAGGAGCTGCAGCAGAGGCACAACGTGCTGGTGGAAGAGTTCGCCCAGATCCGGGCGGAGCGGGAGGTCAACTCCAAGAAGAGGCTGGAGGGTGAGCAGGAGATGGTGCGCATGGTGCGGGCTGCCACGCTCATCCAGGCCGTGTGGAAGGGCTATCTGGTCCGCTCCATGCTCAAGTCCAGGAGAAAGAAGCGTGGCAAAGGCAAGGCCAAGGCCAAGGCCAAGGCCAAGGCCAGGGAGAAGGCCAAGAGCAAGAAATGAGCCCTCCTCCCCCAGTCCTGCTCTGACCCCACGTCCTCACCGTGCCCACCTCCCGGAGAGCAGGCCAGGAAGCCACTGGAACAGGGAGGCCCTGTGATTGTGGTTTGAACACTTTTTCACAATTAAAAACCATCTTAAACCACACCCTATAAATAAACCTCACTTTACCCAGGGCTGTTGGCCGTGTGCATGTCCACGTCTGCAAATGCCATTTCCGTGAGTGGGGCACGTAGGCCGGGTGTGGCAGCTTGTAGCCATCCCTTCCTTTAGCCTCCATGAGAAACCAGACCCCAAGGCTGCAGCCCCCTGGGTCCCAGACTGGAAGTGGCCACGGCCATGGCAAACAGGCCACTGACCGCCCACAGAGGCCAGGGGCAGGCAGAGAACCCCAGGAGGAACAGGGCTTAGGCTGCCCTCAGCCCCTGCCCCGGGACAGTCCATTTGCCCACAACTTCTGCCCCGTGCAGCACTGTGAAAGCTCAGGGGTCCCAGGATTAGAAACCAGCAGCCTCACATCGGCTTTATTTGGTGCCCAGCTAGTCAAACAATGCACCTTTTTAAAATTCGTTGTTGGCATTAAAAATAAGTCAGGGGCCACTACACAGAAATCCAGCTTCCTGCCTTTTCTGGAAACTTTCAGGTATGCTGGGCGTGCATGTCTTCCAGAGCTGAGCCGTAGCACCTGTTAGGTGGCAGAGACTGCAGGTTGCCTCAGTCCCCGCCACTCCCTACAGCCTTCCCAGACCCATGGCCTCCTGTCAGTGTCCCCTTACATCCATCACACTCAGGCTCTTGCCTCTTTTAGTCTAGTCGGGAGGAAGGAGGTATTCCTGGCCCATGTCTGTTAAAATGGGAGGGAATAAAGGCAAATGAAAGCTGAGAGGGAGGGAACTAATTCTTTAGGAAAGTTCTAGAATGTTTAAACATCCTACACATTTAAAATGCAAAGTGCTTGTGCCAAGAGAGCAGCTGACTTGCTGCCCTCATGCCCCTCCTGCCCTGTGTAGGTGCCCACACGGGTCTCCCTGGTCCTGGCCCCCGTGGGTCCCTGCCAGGCTGCTACCCCATGCCTCTGCTCTTCTGTGCCAATGACAGGGCTTCCAGCGGGCTCTCTGGAATCCTTGTGCTTCCTGCAGGTGCATCAGGAGAAAATAGGGACAAGGCGAAGCCCCAAGCCCAGGATGCTGGGGCTCTGGGTGCAACTCCACCTGAGCAAAGGGTTTGCTGTCGTCTGTACGTGACCCGACCCAGGGGGTGCAGCTGACAAGGAGTGAAGCAGGAAAGGCCCAGCCCCTCAGGCCTCGGGGCTGAGAGCTCTGCAGATGCACGTGTAACATCCTGGTCTTAGACCCCACCCCTTGGTAAAGTCCTAGTCCCTGTGCTCTGTTTTTGAAAAGGTGGGAAATGACGAAACTCGCGCCCACATTCTGAGCCCAGGAAGAACAAGCTGACCCACCAGCTGGTGGCATTAGCCGACATCGATGGGAGGAGGAGCCCAGTGTCGTCGGAGGCCCATGTTCTGGAACTTCCGGTTGCCCGCTCACCACTGTCATGGTTTCTGCCACTGCCTTGTCACAGCAAACGTTATTCACATCAGCCCAGGGGGTGACTTCCAGGCAAGATGGCGGCGGAGGCAGACATGGCTCGCCTCTCTGCACAACCGCATCAAAACTACAACTACAATATAGAACCACCATCACTCAGAACTGTCAGAAATCAAGTTGAAGGGAAGTCAGACAACTATGGAATTAAAGAAGCCACATCCATCCAGGCTGGTAGGAGGGGCAGAGGGGAGGCCTGGGCTGGTGCCACACCCACGTGTGGTGGATAAAAACACGGGAGGGACAGCTCCGGGGCGGGAAGTCCCCGCCAAGGGGCTCTTTATTTTTAACCTCATGAAAAGCAGGGACCTACAGCCAAGATTGCTCTAGCCCGCAAAGCTATCATTTAGAACTGAAAGGCAGATAGAGAGCTTCCCTGACAAAACTAAAGGAGTTCATCATCACCAAACCGTTATTACATGAAATGTTAAAGGGACTCATTTAAGAAAAAGGTCAAAACTTTGAACAATAAAATCGCAATAAATACATACCTATCAACAACTGACTCTAAAAAACAAACTAAGCGAATAAGAAGAACAGAGACATAATCCTGGATACGGAGAGCGTTTTGATGGTCGCCAGATGGGAGGGGGCTGTGGGGGACGGGTGAGGAGGTGAGGGGATTACGAGGTACGAATAGGCAGTTACAGAACAGCCATGGGGATGTAAAGTACAGCAGAGGAAAGGGAGCAGCCAAAGAACTTATCCACGTGACCCGTGGACATGAGCAGTGGTGGGGGGGTCGCCTGAGGGAGGGGGGTGCTGGGTGGAGGGGGCAAAGGGGGCAAAATTGAGACAACTCTAACAGCATAATCAATAAAACATAATTTGAAAAAAAACAAATAAACATGAAGGGCTCTTCTGGAACAACAGAATAAATGAGTTTCATATTCACCAAAAATAAATAAATAAATAACAACAAAATAAAATAAATCTACTCAGGCCTAACGTTGGCCTTTCCGCTAAGGAAGAAATTAGTAACTAAGTCGTGGTTTTGATAAGCTACTGACACATTTAATACATGACCATAAACACATGATTACTAAACAGCGCCCCCCCCCTGCCCTCCCCCAGGCCCCGGGCCGGGCGGTGGCCCGCACACCACGCCCGGGAAAACTCCCGCGGCCTCCGGACCCTGCTGGAAACTCGTCCTCAGCGGCGGGTCTGGTTGGAGGGGCAGAGGAGCCCTCCCGGTTGGCGACCACACCTTTCACTCACCCTTGGCGGCAGGACAACACGGGGGGATGACGGGGGGGGGGTGCAGGGCCCTTCTTGGGGGGCGTCCCTGGGTTGGCACTGACACAGCGCGTGGCTGTGATGGGACCGGAACAGCCACTGCCAAGGGGGGCCTTCACATCCACGCAGGGGCGGTGGGAAGCAGGGCGCCCCCAGAGGTGGTCAGGGTAGAGGGGCCCAGGGCAGCGGGGTCCACCTTCGCTGAGTCGCCTCCATGGGCACTTCAAAGCCTGGAGTGCCCCTGAGAATCACCCCACCTGTGCCGCCCTCCGAAACTGGGGCCCTGGCCGTGACCTCTCGGGCAAACCTGACGACAGGACTAAGAAACTCATTTCCAAGGGGGCTTTGGTTTCTGGGGGGCCCCACCTCGTTGGGGGGTAGCGGGCACCGAAACACTGCCTGAACGAGCCCTGGGAGTCACCGGGGGGCTCCGGAAGGTCACCCCCAATGGGGAAGGCCTGGGGTCCCGAGCTCTGTTTGCGTGGGGGCCGCTGGTGGGCGGACGGCCAGTGGTGGGGACATGCAGGCGGGTGAGGGAATGGGACGGCTCCCGGCTCCCTGGGCGTGGAGAGTCTAACGCACCCACGGACAGCTGCCGGGAGTCTGCCCCCACCCTGGGCTCTGTCTCTGAGGGACCGGCTGGGTGAATGGCGCGCAGGGGGGTCTCCCTGGGCTGGGGTGAGTGGCCCCTTGGGGTAGCCGGGGGTGTCCAGAAGAGGGAATGGAGTTTCGCAGCCTCTCCTTTTGCCGTCCATGGGGCCCCCAAGCTGGCGCCCTCGGGTCGGGAGCCAAACAGGGACTCATCACAGTAAGACGGAGTGTGGCTGATCAGTCTGGCAAAGGGAAGAGAAACACAGTGAGCCCATGCAGTGAACAAACCCTACAACCTTAACCCCCGCCCACCCCTGCCAGGCGCCTGAGAGGGTTGCCGGTAGATCCCGGAAGTCCCTGTCTCCCAGCCTGGCACCCACGGTGAGGCCGCAGCCCCCTCGTGCACCACCGCCCCCATCTCTGTTAATATGCCACGCATCCCGTCTCCCCATTCCCTGGCAGGTGCCCCAGGCCTGGTCATTTGCATATTTCACCCTCCTGGCCACATGACCTATTCTGTCCAATGAGAGTCTGCCTTAGGACTTTTGCTGAAACTACTAGGAAAGAGATGTCTTTCTGTCTCCTGGTCTTGAAAAGCTGGCAGATGTAAAGACAAAGCAGCTAGTGGCCGTCTCCCCAGAATGTGTGGCGGGGCAGGGGGGAGCCACACTAAGATGAAGACACTGTCCCTAGTGATGGTCTGAGCCCTTGTTACATAGGCCCAAGCTCCTTTTTCCACTGAAACCAGTTTAGGGGAAGTTTTCTATCACTTGCAACCAAGAGTCCTAATTAAGATAATGTTGGTCTTTATAACCATCACCTTTTCTATTAACTTCCACTTCTACTTTTTCCTAGTAGCCCCATCAGCTGAAACTTTGCAATCCCATGGCCCTTCCAACTTGAAAATTTTGAATATTCACTGATGGCTCTTCATGTACAGACCCTGGACTCAGCACATCACATACAGTATCTTATTATTTCTCACAACATCCACAGGAGGGAGATCCTGATAATCCCGTTTTACAGACAAGAAAACAGGTATGGGGAGGGTAAAGCCCCACAGCAAGAAGGACGGGAGAGGCCAGATTCAAATCCAGCCTGGCTCACGACTCAAGCGCTCCATCAGGGAATCAGACATTCGTACATGCCTTCTAGAACTCTGATCAGCAATTATTTTTTAATTAATCCCACAGGTGTTCCCAGCACACCCATGCGGTCCACGGGTTCTGGCCAGGACTGAAAGTGCTCCAATTCCCAAACTTTGAGTCTTTGAAAAGTCAGCCTGTTGCTGCTGAACTTCTCAAACCATATCTCGCTTCAGCACATTATCTGTCTGGTGCCAGTTTTTGCTCAATAACATCTCTATCTCTTCTGCACCTTCTCACGGACACCCTCTACTTGTCTGCATCCAGCACAAAACCGCATCCTCCAGCAGAGCACGTGGTTAACGGTAACCTCCCTCATCACACACACCATACCTCTGTTAATGCAGCCGGCCCTACATTTACATGAGCATTTTCGGCCACGTCCTGGGTGTCAGTGCTGCTAATGTCAGGCTGACCCTTGTCCGGCTGTGGCGCACAGACCTTGTCAGGAACATCACCCCCGATCCGACAAGCCTTACTTTTATCTTGTTGATTTTTACCTCCTTAAATAGGCATCACTCCCTTTTCTTGACTAGAGTACGTCCCTTCTGGCTCCGGAGGGATCATAGCTATGATTGCCTAGTTGTTAGGGACTGAATTGTGTCCTCCCAAAATTCATGTTGAATTTTAAAGAGGTAATTCAGGTTCCGTGAGGCTATTGGGGTGGGGGGGCTCTTTAAGAAGAGGCACCAGGAGTACACATGCTCACAGAGAGAGGCCACGTGCGGATGCCGTGAACAGGCGGCCATCTGCAAGCCACAGAGAGGCTTTGGGAGGAGCCAACCCTGCTGGCACCTTGATCTTGGACTTCAAGTTTCCAGAACTGTGCGAAAATAAATTTCTGTTGTTAAGCCCCTCGCTCTCTGGCATTTTGTTGTGGCAGCCATAAGTAATTACCACACCAGTCTCCTGTGTCTTTGTCCAAACCACTGATAAACAAGGAGCCCTGTGGGCCACCACTAGGTACCTTCTTCCAGGCTGATGTTAATCTGGAATATTCAAATAATATTCAAGATAATCTAAAGCTAATCTAATTATTTTTCAACCATTAGCATTAGCTTCTGGTTTTCTAACTTGTTCAGGAAAATGCAGCAAGAACCGTTTTCAGAAGGGCTTGCTGAAATCTGTGACCGCCACACCTGTCATTTCAGGAATCAACCACGCTAATAATCTTATGCAAATTGCTCTGTAATCTCCGGCGGATCCTGACCTCTCTGGGTCTCAGCAGCCAGTCCGTGACATTTCAGGATGGGTATTCCACCATCACAACCACCATCACTACCGTTCATCCAGAGCTTTCTAAGCGTCAGGTTACCTAGCCAAGCACCGTACCCACCTCAACTCATTTAATCCTCTCCATAATCCCACGAAATGCCCTTTTCCACGCAAGGAAACCGCCGCTTGGACGGGCCAAGGTGCTGGGCCACAGTCACACGGCAGGGAACAGCAGGGCGCGGACAGGAACCAAGGTGGCTACCGCGGGTGCATCTGCCCATGCCGTCACCTGTATTTGTTCTTCTTCCTGTGTGTGAGGGTCGGGGTGCAGCCCCTGGAGGAGGTGGTCTCACAGCTCCCCGGAGCCCGTGAAGCCTCTGCGCCCACTCCTTTGGTTCTGTCGGCCTTCTCCACCCAGGGTGGGTCAAAGTCTGGCGGTGTGGGCCGGGTGCCTGAAGCGCTGCCAAACAGAGTCTCATCCACGTACGAGGCCCTGGCCCTGGCCTGAGAGCCGCCCCGGCAGTGGCGCTGACGGTGAAGGGTCTGCATCCCACTGACGGCCAGCGCCACCGGGGTCTTCATGCTGCCCATGGTCTCGGGTGACCGCAGGCATGCTCCGCCCACCAGGCCCTGCCTCCAGGGCTCCCTGTGAAAAGGGCATCAGGATGCCATCTCTCGGTCATCTGCAGTGCCACCGCAGAAAGACTGACAGTCTTTTCAGTCCCCATCCCAAGGGCAAAAAGGTCAGGTTTTCCCTCAAGCAATTCTCCTCAAAGGGGGACTGCCAACCTCAGGGGACATTTCGGAAATTTGTTCAACAGGTTTTTTTTAGTTGTTAACAGTGATGGGGAGACGGGTGCTGCAGGCGAATATTTAATGAATATGCTTTCTTAGCACAGTGTGCTCAATAAATATGATAGAATGCTAGGGGACGAAGGAGAGATGGGGCTTGTGTCCCCTTTGGCACCAACCACCAAAAAAAAAAAAAAAAAAAAGACTGGTCGGGGAAAGTCAGGGCAGGAAATAATCAGTTTCAATCTCATGCCTACCTCGTGCAAAGAGCTTTCGAAACATTGTCTCATTTAATCCTCCCATTGGACCTGTGAAGTAGCTTTATGTCCATTCTGCAGATGACAAAACTGAGGCTTCAAAAGGTGACGTCACATGTGTAAGTTACAGCGATAAAGCTAAAATAGAGAAAGAGGAATTTGAACCTGCTAAGAGTCCAGAGCTTGTGCACTTTACCATTCTACTCTAGGGGATTACATGACCCCGACTGCTGCACGTGCCCCGATCCCCACATCAATGTCCGGGCCGATGTCCGAGGAACACGCATTCTTGGGGTATTTACTACCTGAGCATCGTGGCTCCCGGACGTCCGTCGGCTGGCTGCAACACTCAGTGCTCCCCCTACCAGGTCTGGACTTTTGTGCGCGGGTACTCGGGCACCCGCGGCGCGCGGTGCATCCGTGGTTCCGGTCTATCCGGGGCCTGGAATCACGGAGCTCTGGACCCCCGGCTGCCCAGGCCGTCCCGGGTTTCTGTCCGGAGCAACGTGCGTACAGACTCGCCCGGGACCAGCAGGCCCTAGCGACGTGCGCTCCGCGCGCGTCTCAAACAGCAACCAGCCAGCGTCCGGACGGGGCGGGGCGGCGCGGCCGGAACCATTCGCGCCAGGGGGGAGGACGCCAGTTCCAAACGCCTCCACAGTTCCCCAAAGCCTAGGAGAAGGGCCTCTCGCGCCAGTCAAAGGAGCTTGTGCGCGCGCGCGCCACGCCTCCTGGGGCTGCAGTGGAGCAGGGAGTGCAGCCGCGGCCGCATAGACGCGTGTTCCCCCGGCCGCGCCTTGGTACGACCCCAAGACTCCGCCCCTTCCCGTTTTCCAGTGCCAGGGTCCGCATGGCTGTCCGAGAGCACCAGGTGGCCAGACCGCGGTCGCGACCTGCCATGGCCCAGCGGAGGAAAAAGAAGGGACTTCGGAGGCGCCGGGGCGCGGCCTCCCAGGCCCTCAGCAGTGACTCGGAGGACGGCGAGTTTGAGATCCAGGCGGAAGATGACACCCGGGCTCAGAAGGTAGGAGCGTGGGGCTGGGACACACGTTGGCGCCCGAGTCCGGCTGCGTGCGGCCCTCCGTGGCCTCATTTTTCCCAGCTGGGGAGTGGGCACTACCGAGGGTGGGGAGAGGTCAGCTGGCAGGGGTCGAGGGCACGATCGCCGGCCTGAGCGTGTGTCTCGGAGCCCGTCTTGCTCGGGGTCTATACGGCCCAAGCCATAGAGTTCTAGAGGCTGGGGCCTGCGGGTCTTCCTGGCTGGCTTTGGGCTGAACGCTCCTCATTGGCTATCTCCTACTCAGGGGGCGGGTCTAGTTCTCTTTCGTCCAATGAAAAGTGCGAGTGCGGAAGATCTGACTTTCGAGAGTTTAGGGGATTGTTGAGAGTTTGAATTAAGGGGTGCCCGGACCCCGTAGCTTGGGACCCCAATGCGTCCAGTCCTCTGGGAAACTAGGTAATAAATTAAATTTGGGTTTGTTGACCAATTACTATGTTCCAGGCCCTGTGCTGAGAGCTTTAGGAACCTTATTATTTAATCCTTAGACCAATCCTGAGAACTAATTATTGTCGTCCCATATTCCAGAGGAGGAAAACTGAGGCCTAGATTGATAAAGGAACTTGACTAAGACCTCTCAGCTTCTGAGAGCCAGGATTCAAACCCGGGACCGCCTTGTTCCAGGGTCTGTGCTATTTCCAGTACTGAGTGCCAGCTGTGTGCAAATGGGGAGGGAGGTCTGTGCCTAGCGTGACGGGTGCAGCGTAGCTCTGGATAAGTAGGTGAATGAGGGGGTATTTATATGAAGAGCGGGTTCTACACTCCTTCAAGGCAGGGCCCAGACCTTATCCCACTGTTTCCCCAGCCTAGCTGGTACCTGGCATGCAGTAGGTGCTCTATAAATGTGGAGAAACTGCGGAAGGTAATAAACAGGAGAGCAGAGTACTAATGCCGAAGAGGAGCCTGTGCTGTGGATCAGACCAGGGGCTTTGCCCTGGCTCAGCCCAGTGTTGAAATCTGGCCCAGACTTGGACTAACTGGAATAGTGGAGGAGTTGCTTACCCTCTCTGAGCCACATCGGTAGAAGGCGGAGGTTTCATGCGGGAAGACGGCTAGTGATAACATGTGCCTCACAGACCGTGGAAAAGATTAAATGACATGTTTCTATATTCTACTCATTCTGTATAATGCTGGGCACTCATGTGTTCCAGGCACTCTGTAGTTATGTGTCGAGAGCAGAGAAACTTTTCCTCTAAGGACCAGATGGTAAATGTTTTAGGTAAATATTTTAGAGGGTGAGGCCCCATACGGTCACTGTCTTCTTTGTCTGAATTTTTGGCGGTCTTTTAGTATAGCTCATGGGCCACACTAGACAGGCTGCAGCTCTGACCTAGTGCTGTAGTGGACCATAGGGAGTCACAGTGGAAAGAACATAGACTCTAATCCCCCACTGGCTGTCTGTGTGATCGTGGGCAGATCACGTCACCTCTGTGGCTCAGTTTCCTTCTCTGTAAGATGGACAAGATAATAGCACCCACTTCCTGGGGTTGTCCTGAGGATTAAATGGAGTAACTGATATGAATGCTCAGTAGCACCTGGGTTAGAGTGAGAGCCATATAAGTGTTAGCCATTATTATGACTTAGTGGTCCATACATGTTACTTCTGAAAGGACAGGGACAGCTCTGTAGTCTGAGAAGGCTCCCCAAAGGAGGCGTCTGGGTTAGACTTAGCCGTCCTAGGATAAGTGCGTGGGCAGAGAGGAGGCAGGCCCAAGAGAGACCAGAGTTGGGTAGATCAGAAAGGGGATTAAGAAGCGGGGGGTAGGGCGGCCTGGAGAAATCTAGTCCCTCGCACATTGTAGACATTGTGATTGGCTCTCTATAGAGTTTTTCATTTTGAGGGCTTTGAATGACAGGCCAGGATGATGATGGTGGTGGTGGTGGTGGTGGTGGTGATATCATCACCATTTACATACTGGGCACTGTTCTGAGCTTCATACTCACCGGTTTAGATTTCACAACACCCTCTGAAGCCCGGGACTTGTCATTGAAACACAGACGCAGGGAAGGTTAAGTCTCTTGCATGAGATCTCCCAGCTGGTAAGTGGCAGAGTTGGATGGAAACACAGGCAGTCCGCCGGCCGAGCCCACCCTCAGGCTCTCTGCCCTGTCCTGGCCCAGTCAAAGGAGAACCCTGTCGCCGAGAAGTCATGTGATTGGGCAGGGGCGTCATCAGCTCGAATGGGGTGCGGACTGACAACCGGACAGCCCCCCTCCCTGTCCCCAGGGGTCTGATGGTGCCCGGAGTGATGCTGCCCCTCCGTTCCTCCCTCCCAGCTGGGACCTGGCCGACCCCTGCCCACCTTCCCCACCTCGGAGTGCACCTCGGACGTGGAGCCGGACACGCGGGAGATGGTGCGGGCCCAGAACAAGAAGAAGAAGAAGTCAGGAGGCTTCCAGTCCATGGGTGGGTGAATCAGGCCGCAGGGGGCCATCACGCCTCGGAGCCCTGCTCTGGGCCCAGCGCTACGGCAGGCGTTGGGTGGACTGAGGCAGCAGACACCGTCTCGGCCTTCGCGTGGGGTGATGGGCCTGACACGGTGGGAGGGCAGTTGGAGCCGGACGCAGGGCAACGCTGGTCAGGAGCAGGCATTTGGGGAGTTCCTGCGTGGCGACAGCATTTCAGAGCCGGGGTTGGGGGTGCAGCAGTCAGGTGGGATTGGAATACCCGGCTACGTGGAAATGAAGCCGGACTCTTGCTGTTTACAAATCAGTAGCCTCTGGAGCGAAGATTTAAATATTATGAACATTTTTCTAATCTTAGAAAGGAAAAGAAGGCCTTTTTAAGTGCAACCCGAGCCCAGTGTGATTTTTTTCTATTAGATGCGTGTATGCCAAAAAGCGCTGTATACTAACTTAAAGTAAATGCTGTTTTGGGAGCATATTGGCAAACTATGGGATAGACAAAAGGGTAAATATAACATGCAAAGAGCTTTCACAGATCGGTAAGAAAAAGACAGACACCCCGATAGAGACTTGGGTGAACAATGTGAGCAGTCAACTCACAAAAGGAATCTAGGCAGCCAATATACTACATTAAAAATGCACTAAAAATTTATCAAAACTGAAAGGAAAAAAGTAAATACAAACATTGACATGTAGCTATTTTTTTGCCTTTCTGAGTCACCAAGATAACTGAGCAGAAAGCAGCCGCAGTAGACGGTGGTGCCGTCCTGCCTCAGGCCTCCACTCTCCTCCCATCTCCACACGCCCGAGCCACATCCTGTCACCCAAGGCCACCTCCTCCCCTTCTAGGACCGCTTGCCTCATTGGTCAACACTCGTGCTTGCACGTGTCATGGGCCCGTGTCACGTGACACCCTTTTCCTCTGGTTATACATTTCAAACATATAAACAAAAAATAGAACACAGTGAATCTCCACCTACCCATCACCAGCTTCAACTGTTTCCAGTCTTATTTTAGCCACGCCTCACCCCCGTGTCCCCAGCATCCCAGGGGATTCGGCAGTGCGTCCCAGACATCCCCTCTTTGTGTTCCTAAACACTTCCTGCTTACCTTCAAGGAGAGGCAGGGCCTTACATACCTGAGACAAACTCAGTCCTCAGTATCATCCAAGACCCTCGTCACCATTTGGACCCCCAGCCGTCTCATGATACTAAGACTGTGCTCACATCAGAACCCACCTGAGGCTCATATTCCATAACCTGTAGATTTGTCTCAATCTATTGGGTCTGCTCTATTGCTTTTCTTTTTTTTCTTGCTATTTATTTGACGGCATGAGTCATTTGCCCCACGTGGTCCCGTGGGGGCTCCCCGGGCCCCCGGTCATTCCCGTGTCTTTCCCAGGCCTGAGCTACCCGGTGTTCAAAGGCATCATGAAGAAGGGCTATAAGGTGCCCACACCCATCCAGAGGAAGGTATGCGGGGTGTGAGGGGGAGGGCTGGTGGGGTTGGGAGGAGGGGACAAGCGACTTGGCCCTTCTCTCGGCCTCTTGGCAGACACCCCTTGTCCCGGCTGTCACATCTGTTGTCCCTCTTATTCTGAAACCCCACAAGCTCGCCTGTTTCACAGGTGGAGAAGTTGGGCCTGGCAGAGAGGAGACTCGACTCTGGGCCTCTTTGCCACTTAAGCCTGTTCACTGCCGAGGCCCTGCTGGCAGCTCGCAGGCCCCCTGTTATCTCCCGAGGCCCGTGACGGGTGTCCTCAGACATTTAGCTGCAAGGCGGACACTCCTCTGGGGTCCTGAGGAGGAAGAGTAGTCAGGGAGGTAGAGTCTGGCGGGGAGGTAAGCTGGAGGCAGATGTTCAAACAGGAGGAAGATTTGGGTGTGATGAGCTGCTTGTCCCTGGAAGCATGCAAACAAGCTTTGGCAAGAATGGGATCAGAGCTGGACGACAGGCCCCTTCCCCTTCACTGGGATCCCCTAGGTCATCTGTTCCCCAGATCACGTGGTGTTGGGGTACAGGGGCCGACTCGTTTCTCCGCAGACCATCCCGGTGATCCTGGATGGCAGGGACGTGGTCGCCATGGCCCGGACGGGCAGCGGCAAGACAGCCTGCTTCCTTATCCCCATGTTCGAGCGGCTCAAGACCCGCAGCGCTCAGACCGGGGCCCGAGCCCTCATCCTCTCGCCCACCCGAGAGCTGGCCCTGCAGACCATGAAGTTCACCAAGGAGGTCTGTCGAGGCTGGAGGGGTGCAGGTGGGCAGGCTGGGCTGGGGCCCGTGGCGAGGCCTGAGGGGACCAAGTCCTCTCCCCCTCACCCTCTCTCAATCTTTCTCTCCCCACAGCTGGGCAAGTTCACCGGCCTCAAGACTGCCCTGATCCTGGGTGGGGATAAGTAAGAGCCCCCTCGTCCCCCGCCACGGTCACCCGTACCCTTACACCCCCGTGCAAGCATAGCCCGTCCTCCAGGGTATCAGAGTGAAGGAACCGTGTGCCTTATTAACATAGCAAGTTCTTGGCACATTAAAAAAACCCCAAAAACCAAACAAGGGAAACATGCAGTAAAAGACGGAGATTTCTCACACAAGCACTGGCGAGGTTCCGATGCTCCCGAAAGAGAGCTGGTGGCACACAGGTCACCCGGACAGGTAGCTTAGTTGTGAATGTTTTAAGGTGCCTACTTGTGGGTTGTTTAAAGTGGATTGCACAAAAACCAGTTTCCAGCTGTTCCCCGGCCCCATCCCCCAGTGCCTCCTTCACAGGGCAGCCCCTCCCTTTTTCCCACGGTCACTGTCATCTGTCACTCTCTGTTTTCTGAGTGTTTGGCTGTCCAGTGCTCTTTTGTCTACATTGTGATTTATTATCTCTGTAGTTCGTGATTGTGAACTGTGCCTCCCTGGGCTAGGCCTGGCCGGACTTCTGGCTTCCACAGGTGTCCCAGGGGTGCGTCAGAGGATGACTAACGTTAGGGGTGTGTGTGTGCTCAAAAGGTTTAAGAACAAGGACAGAGAGATCCAGGAAACTGGATTTTAGGGGCCACTGGCCGTTCCTAGGTTAGTTGCTAGGGGGTGCTGTGGGTCAAAGGCAGCTTTGTTGCAATCTGGACAGAGAGTGAGGTGGGCTCTCAGGCTGAGCCCATCTCTTTGGGGAACTCTTTGTTGTATATCAGTCGTCTTGTATATTTGAACTTGTATCTCCTGTCAGGGCAGTGCCTGTCCCCAGTTGCAAGTCTGGGGAGTGGGACGCACCTGGGCATTTGGTACGGGGAGAGGGAGGGACTAGACAGAGGCCTGTTCTATCAAGCTGACACCTCCCCTTCTCCCTAGAATGGAGGACCAGTTTTCAGCCCTGCACGAAAACCCGGACATGTGAGTTTGGATTGGGAGTCATGCTCTGGGGTCCATTCCCAGAGGGCCAGCAGCTGGGGGATCAGAGGAGGGCACTGCTGGGGGCCCTGGGTGACCTGGCCTGCACACCCCTTCCAGAATCATTGCCACCCCTGGGCGCCTGATGCATGTGGCGGTGGAGATGAACCTGAAGCTGCAGAGCGTGGAGTACGTGGTATTTGACGAGGCCGACAGGTGAGGCGGCAGGTGCGCCCGGTGCAGTGCCCGGAACGGTCTGCCTCAGGGCTGGGAAGTGAGAGGGAGGCGGGCTGCCTGGGAGGAAGGGCCCTGCCAGGAGAGACCTGTGTACCGGGGTCGAAGCAGCGTTTCCCCAGGTTTCACCAGAGCTGAGGGGCTTCCGGGCCAACAGTTTTGCTTTGTGTTACTTTTGGGACTATCAGGAAGAGGAATAAAACAAATGTGATTTCAAAGTTAGAAATAGCAGCACAAAGTTGAGAACTCAGGTGGCATCAAATCCCAGGTCTGGGAACTTGGGCAAATCACAGAGGGTCTGAGGGGCCCTGGGGGGACCTCAGCTATAGAGTGGGCATAAGAGAGCGTGTGCCTCCCAGGGGGCCGCGTGGACTCCGGAGCTGATGTTGGTCAAGAGCTCAGGACAGTGCCTGACAGGGCAGGGGCTGCCGTCATTTATTTCAACGTGAGTTAGTAGGAAACGGAACAGATCAGACCTGAGGTTTCAAGGTTGTTACTGCTTGGGATGAAGTTGTCAGGTAGAGAAAAAGCGAGCTGAGTTAAAGAAACGTGAGGCAAACACCAGTCCGCAGGGGAGACAGGGTGGTGGGGGCGAGGAGGACAGAGAGTCTCGGAACTCTCTGGAGTGGCAGCCCCTCTCCTGACCCCGTCCTGCCCTCTGTCCTCCTTCGTCCCAGGCTCTTTGAAATGGGGTTTGCGGAGCAGCTGCAGGAGATCATCGGCCGCCTCCCGGGGGGCCAGCAAACGGTCCTGTTCTCCGCCACGCTGCCAAAAATGCTGGTGGAATTTGCCCGGGCTGGTGAGTGAGCTCGGGCTGGGGCGGGGGTCTGGGGGCCAGTCCTTGAGTAACTGAATGCCCCCCCCTCCCCTGTGGCCCCGCTTAGGCCTCACGGAGCCCGTACTCATTCGGCTGGACGTGGACGCCAAACTCAACGAGCAGCTCAAGGTGAGGCTGGGCCTGTGGAGTCTCCAGGTCCCTGTCCAGGGCCCTGAGAGCCACACCCACATGACCCCTCTCCCTGCAGACCTCTTTCTTCCTGGTGCGGGAGGACACCAAGGCTGCCGTGCTCCTCTACCTGCTGCGCACTGTGGTGCGGCCCCAGGACCAGACGGTGGTGTTTGTGGCCACAAAGCACCACGCGGAGTACCTCAGTGAGGTGAGAGGGCCTGGCAGGAAGACGGCCCACCTCAGGCCCTCTCCTGGGAACCTGCCGTGTATTAGCTTGGGCTGCAGTTCCATATATGGCCACCAGAGGGCAGCACCAGAGCGAGACAAGGGCCTGGCCATGGCTTGGTACTTTCTTATTTCAAACTTCTTATAAAAATTTTAAATGCATACTACAGTTAGAAAATAGCATAATGAACTCCCAGGTACTCAGTTATCAATTCATGGCCAGTCTTGATTCATCTATCACTCCCCTCTCCATCCAGGTTATTTTGAAGTATTTTCCAGCCATCCTATCATTATTCTATAGATTTCCAGTGATTTCGCAGCAACCTGTGTACAGAGCCTTAATCTTACATGAGAAGCCTGATGAGTGTTTTGTTTTATTTTTCTGATTTTTAGAGAGAGAAAAACATCAATTTGTGGGTCCCCTTATTGATGCTTTCATTGGTTGAGTCTGGCATGTGCCCTGACTGGGGATCAAACCCACAACCTTGACTTATTGGGATGATGCTCGAACCAACTGAGCTAGGTGGCCAAGGCCTTTAAAAAAAGAAAATTCTTTTTTTTACATACTGATTTTTAGAGATTGGTGAGTTTTTCCATACATGTACACCTGTGGCCTTCGGCTATATCAAAGCGTGGGGGTCCCTGTGCCCCAAAGGCTGCTGGGGCGCCTTCTCTGGCCAGCCACACCTGGGGTCTGTTGTCTGAGGCCACAGTTCACTGGGTTTCACTTAGCTGTTACACATCTAACAGTGCTTCCTCCTGGTGTGCAGCTGCTGGGTCACCAATGAATGAGACCAAAATAATAATTTCCAAAAAGCAGTTAACACTTTCACGGTGCTTCCTACGTTCCGGTCTGTTTCTCAGGACTGTGTATGTATTACCTCATTTAGTCCTCATAACAAAGCTACAAAGAGGGAACTGTTTTCCCCATTCTATGGGTGAGCAAAATGAAGGCACAGAGAGGTTAGGTAACTTGCCCAGGGTCAAGGTCGTGCGGCTTCTTAGTGGTGGAGTCCGGGTGAAGCTTACCACCAGGCCGTGACATCCCGACCGTGGCCCAGACCCCTCCCTCTCCTGCCAGCCTCCTCACCCCTCTCCCTCCATCCTGTCTTGGCTGAGCAGCTGCTGACGGCCCAGCGGATGAGCTGCGCCCACATCTACAGCGCTCTGGACCAGACGGCCCGCAAGATCAACCTCGCCAAGTTCGCCCACGGCAAGTGCTCCACGCTCATCGTGACCGACCTGGCCGCCCGAGGCCTGGACATCCCGCTGCTGGACAACGTCATCAACTACAGCTTCCCAGCCAAGGGAAAGCTCTTCCTGCACCGTGTGGGTAAGGAGCCAGCGGGGGTGCCGCGGGTGGAGAAACCGAGGCCCAGGAACTTGACCTATAAATTAGGATCCGGGGAGGTGGGGTGCCAAGGTTCTGCCGGGCAGCCTCACAGCTCTGAGGAAGTGATTGTCTGCTGCTTGGATTCCCCAGTCCTGGGCTCCTCTTTCCTGTCATGGTACTTGAGGATGTGGCCCCTCAGCCCCTCCTCCCTGAAGTCCTCTGAGTAAAACTGTCCTTCTAGCTCCTTTTCCTGGGGACCCTTGCCCACCGAGCCCTCTGCCTCCAGTCCCGTCACGCAGGCAGGATCTCCTGACTCCCTTCTTTGTTGGGTCAGCATGTCAGGCCCCCCTTCCCCTCAGCCCTGCCAGGCCGGGATGCTGCCTATGATTTTCCAGTTCTGCAAGTAAGATGCGCACATGGTAGGCATGTTGGAAAATGAAGCAAAGCAGCAGGTCCCGCGCCCCTGCCTGGTGACAGTGACTGTGGCCGTGCTCCCCGCGGCCCTGTCCCGCCTTTCAAGTGTAGCAGCTCCTTTTGTTTCCACAACCGCCCTGTGTAGCAAGTCCCACTTTGCAGGCGAGGACCCGGGGTCTTCTACAGGTGGCAAGATGGGGTGGCTGGGGTTGGCACCCCGCCTTCACTCTCATAGCCTCTCTGATGACATGGACGTCACTGTGGTGTGTTCTTTCCCCCGGCCGCCACCTTTTTCTTTTTTTAATTATGGTAGAAGAGGCACAGCGTATGATTATTGCGGGAACCATTGCTGGGTGGAGCGGCAGCGGCATTAAGAACGTTCGCACGAGTGAACAGCCGTCGCTGCTGCCTGGCTCCGGACCGTCTGCGTCTTCCCGCGCTGGACGACCCTCCCAGTGCTGGCCCTCTGACCCCCTCTACCCAGCCCCTGGCACCCACCACTCTGCCTTCTTTGCCTTCCTTTAATTCAGAAACGCGTTTATAAATACAGGTCACTTACTGTGTGTGTGAGAAGCAGCTAGCAGGTGGGGTCCCTTGAGCTGTTCCGGCTGTGACGGGACATCGCTGAATAAGGCGATTCTGGCCGCCCATGGGGGCCCCAGAGAAGTGGCTCGAGGGCCAGTTGGGGCGCAGGGGAGGCCTCCTCCTGGGTCTCCAGCCCAGGTCCCGTGTCCTGTGCCCCAGTTCCCACTGCACTGGGGACCCAGAGCTGGCTCTGTGCGCTTGGGGACCCCAAGACCCCCAAAGGGAATTTCTCATGCACCTCATGACCGACAGTGTAAATCACACCACCCCAAGTGACTCTTCCAAAGGTGGTGACACTTTTGTTTTGCAAGCTGCAGAAACAAGGCAACATGCGATGCTACGCATGGATTTACTTAAAGCAAACTTAGCATCACGCAGGCGGCTCTCTCCTCTGACCTTTTCCTTGCATCATTGTATGTCATGCAGGTTTTCATCCATTAACTGTCACTCCGTGACCGGCCGGCAAGCTGGTCCTATAAAGGGCTGGAGAATAAATACTTCAGGCTTCGGGGGCCGTATAGTCTCTGAGCTTGGCCCTTACAGCCCAATAGCAGCCACAGGCGATACGTAAACGATATATAACTTCATTTACGCAAACGGGTGGCTGGGGGGATGTGGTGTCTGGGCCCGTTGCTGGCCCCTTTCTTCTGCTGTAGAATCCCTGTCATGGGTCACCATCCAATTAATTTATGAGGTCCTTTCTGAGGGCGAGCAGCCCCTTGTCTGTGTTTCTGCCAACTTCCCGGAGCGCTGAGTCGGCGCGTGCACTCTCGTGCAGCTGACCTTGGCGACCTTCGGTGCCCCTTCCCCTCTCGTAGGGCGGGACACCAGCTCAGCCGAGGTGTGGGCTTGGCCTGCTTTGCACCCTGAGGGGTGGGCTGGAGGAAGTTGTGCTGGGCTTTTGGGGACTTTTCCTTTGCTGAAGCTTGGCCACCTCTTCCCGCAGGTCGTGTGGCCCGGGCCGGCCGAAGTGGCACAGCCTACTCCTTGGTGGCCCCAGATGAAGTCCCCTACCTGCTGGACCTGCACCTGTTCCTGGGCCGTGCCCTCTCCCTTGCCTGCCCCCAGGAGGAGCCCTCAGGTGGGTGGAGGCAGGGTGGGGCTCTTCATGTGGGCTTTGGTCGGTGTGGGGCTGGGTTTGACCCCCAAGAAGATCCCTATACAGTTCTCCCTCAGTGTCTGACGTGGGTTAGTTCTAGGACCCCCTCGGATACCAAAATCTGCAGATGAGTCCCTTGTGTAAAATGGCAAAGTATTTGCATATAACCTACACACATCCTCCTGTAACTTTAAGTCATCTCTAGATTATTTATAATGATACAGTGTGAATGCTGTGTAAATAGTTGCTATGCTGAACTGTTTATGGAATAATGACAAGAAGAAAAACTGTACACGTTTAGTACAGATGCAGCCAGCGCGGGCCTGACTGCGGACACTCGTCAGCAGCCGCAGGGGTAGCTCTGTGACGAGCGGGCAAGCGCGGTGTCGGCGAGGGGAGGCCGGGCGGGGGGGCCGGCGGCAGGCCTCTGACAGCACCGTGTGCGGGGCGGCAGGCGCGGGCGGCGTGGATGGCGTGCTGGGCCGGGTGCCGCAGAGCGTGGTGGACGATGAGGACTGCAGCGTGCGGAGCACCCTGGAGGCGTCGCTGGAGCTGCGGGGCCTGGGCCGCGTGGCCGACAACGCCCAGCAGCAGTATGTGCGCTCACGGCCGGCGCCCTCACCAGAGTCCATCAAGCGGGCCAAGGAGCTGGACCTCACGGGGCTGGGCCTGCACCCCCTCTTCAGTGAGTCCCCGCACAGGGCAGGGGCGGCGGGCACCCCGCAGAGCCGAGCCCCGGCCTCACGCCCTCCTCCCCTCCAGGCTCGCGCTTCGAGGAAAAGGAGCTGCAGCGGCTGAGGCTGGTGGACAGCATCCAGAAGTACCGCTCGCGGGCGGTGAGCGGGGGCCAGGCGGGGACCACACCGCGGCCGCAGCGGTGCCAGGACTCTGACTGAGTGCCCGAGCCCCAGCGGGACCCCAGCAGGGACTCCCGTCCCCGCTGGCCGCATCTTCGTCTGTACCTCTGGTTCTGTCGGCATCTCTAGAGACGCCACTGTTTCTGGAACCATCCCTGCTTGTCTCCAGCGGGTGCCCCATGTGGCGGCTGGTCCTTCCCACTTACAGATGGGTAGACTGAGGCTCACAGGAGAGTGACGTGCCCTGGGCCTGTTAGCGGCCTGGGGAGCCAGCCTGCCATTGCCGATCATCTCTGTCGACTCCCGCGGAGCCCCATCCTGTACCCAGGGGAGGCGTGTGCCGAGGCAGGGGAAGGCCCGCCCGCCGGCCAGTGTCAGGGAGAACGCGCTGGAGTGTCATGGTCAAGAGCGCTGGGTTCAGAGCCAGGTGGCCCTGAGCCGAAATCCCAGCTCTGGCCCATCCCAGCTGTGTGACCTCGGGCAGGTCACCTGCCCTCTCTGGGGCTCCCTTTCTAACTGAACAGCCAATAGTGAGGGTGTTCCTGGAAGGACTGAGAGCACTCAGGACGGGATGCCGGCGTGCCCACGGGCTGGGGGCGCGGAACCAGGTCGGGGAAGAGGCTGGTGGGTGAAGGACTCGGGTGTCCCCCTACAGACTATCTTTGAAATCAACGCCTCAAGCCGGGACTTCAGCAGCCAGGTGATGCGTGCCAAGCGGCAGAAGGACAGCAAGGCCATCGCCAGCTTCCAGCAGGGGCGGCAGAGGCGGCAGGAGGGCCTGCCTGGCCCAGCCCCAAGCTGCTCAGTGCCGAAGGAGGAGCAGCCTGAGGAGGAGGAGGCAGCGGCGGCCGCGGGAGAGAGCGTGGAGGTACAGGCCCCGCCCCGGGGACTTGGGGTCCCGCCAGGGTTTGGGGAAAGGGGTGGGCCAAGTCGCAGCAGCCATGGGGCTGTGCCCAGGCTTCGGGCAGTTGCTGGGGGTGGATTCGGGGATTCCAGTCCCAGGTCTGACACTTGTGGAAGTCGGCGACTCCCCTGTCTGGGGAGTGGGCTCATGGTGCTCGTCCGCCAGCCCTAGCCCGACACGCCAGGGACCAGATGCGTGTGGGGATTCTGAATCCTTAGGGTGGGTGTCCTGTGTGGGACATAGCACCTCAGCGGGGTCTGGGGTGTCACTGCCATCAACTGCATCAGAGCTCCTGCCGTGGGGCACACTGGTCCCTGAACTAACTACCCAGCCCCTTGTCGGCTCCGGTCGGCATCTGCCACCGAGGGGATTTCGGGAAAGCCCATTTTCTCGGCCTTGCGGACGAGGGCACCGCAGCCAAGTGACTAGGGTGCTGGGGCCCCCCGGGGCAGATGCAGGCGGCACCCGGCAGATTCCTGGTGGCAGCCACGTTGTCGTCATCTTGAGGGCAGTCTGAGCCCGGGGTCTGGGGCAGGCCGAAAGACAGAGCAGGAGCTCTTGGCAGCAGCGAGGGCACGACCAGGCATGCCAGACGCTGGGCCCTGGTGCCAGAGGCAGGGCCGGGGGGCCACACGGGGGGCCCCCTCCCTGGTAGGCAGGGTCCTGCGCCTGCTCCCCCACCTCCCTTACATTTGATTTGGATAGAGGCTCAGTAGCCAAAGCACAATGGCTGGAAACCCTGGACCAGTCCCCCCCCACACAGAGCAAGGCCCGGGCCGAGGGGGCCCGGGCCTTGCCTTGGTCACACAGCCGGGGGGACCACGCTGGGGCTGGAACATGAGTCCCTCCCTGGTTGGCACCTCGGCACCGCGCCCCCCTTCCCTAACCCTGCTGGTGCTCGAGGAGGGTTGTACTGCACGAGCAGAGGAGGAAATGGAGGGTCTACATGGCAACACCAAGCCGGACAGGTGTTGGGGGCAGGTGGGCTCGCAGGGGCTGCAGGTGTGACGGGGCCTCCGTCCGCCAGGACGTCTTCACGGAGGTCGTGGGCCGGAAACGGCCGCGGCCAGGACCTGACTGTGGAGCCAAGAGGCGGAGGGAGGAGGGCCGGCAGCGCGACCAGGACTTCTACGTCCCCTATCGGCCCAAGGACTTCGACAGCGAACGCGGGTGAGTGGCCAGTGCGCACGCGTGTGTGCATGCGTGTGCATACAGACATACGTACGTACGGCAGGTGGGGCCTAACGGCCCCGTCAACCCTGTTGTGTCTCCCTACTTGGCCTCCTGCAGCCTGAGTGTCGGTGGGGACGGCGGCACCTTTGAGCAGCAGGTGGCTGGCGCGGTCCTGGACTTGATGGGGGACGAGGCCCAGAACCTGACCAGGGGCCAGCAGCAGCTCAAGTGGTGAGTGGGCTTGTCAGCACAGCCTTCCAGGCCCGCCTGTCAACACGCGGTCCCACGCAGCTGGCCCGTGACCCCCAGAGCAGGAAATACACTACCTCCACCCCCTCCCTGATCCTGCACAGCACAAATTATGATGTGACCCCCCCATCCCGTTTCCATGTGACCATGCACAGTAAGGATGATGAACCCCTCCCCACCCCATTCAGAGCCAGGAGGTGGCTGACCCAGGCAGGGCCCCCGTTCCTGATGACCCCCACACTGCCTTTGAGGCCTGGGCTACCAAGGAAAGGTGAGGAAGGGCAGGGGGCAGGCCTGTACTGAGCACCTACTGCATGCGAGGCGTGCCACGCTGCTTTTCTGGGGTCCTCCAAGACCCTGGTGAGAGTGTCAGAGGAGGGAGGAGGCCACTGCAGGCGACCTCTGTCCATGGCAGCCCACCCGACTCTCCTGCAGGGACCGGAAGAAGAAGCGGTTTGTGGGACAGACAGGACAGGAGAAGAAGAAGATCAAGACAGAAAGTGGCCACTACATCAGCAGCTCCTATAAGCAGGACCTGTATCCTAAGGGGCGGGGCTGAGTGGCTTCTAGCCAGTTATTGGGGGCGGGGCCAAACACAAGTTTCCTGGGGGGGGACCTGCATTTGCTGGAGGGGGCGGGGCCTTTTCCCAGCCCAGGGGTCTCACAGGCGTCAGGATCCCACTAGCAACCTCCTTAGCAAGGTTTCCCAGCTATAAGAAGTGGAAGCAGAAACAGAAAATCGACGACCGCGACTCGGAGGAGGAAGGGGCATCAGACCGGCGAGGCCCAGAGCGAAGAGGTTGGAAGCGGGGCCGAGGCCAAGGTGGGATGTACCTCAGAACACAGATCAGTACGTGGTACATTTGGTCACCTGGGAACTTGGTCTCCTGACCCTGCCTGGGTCCCTCAGGTGACAGGCCAAGGGGATACGAACCATTGTCTGCCAGAGCCCGTGCTCCCTGACCGCAGCGTGGGCCGGCTGCCCCGCATGCCAGGACCCCATCCTGCCCCTCAGGGCCGATGGGCTCTAAGCAAAGGGGGCGGGAGCCTGTCCCGCCCCCTGGCGTGCTGTCAGAACGGTCCCACCTGCTGTGTGGAGGCAGGTTCCGCTAGACATTCGCCCCACGTGACTGGGGTGATCCTACAGGCCAGGACGCCCACGTGGGTCACAAGGGCGACGGCTGGCCCTGGGCCACCCAGCTGCCTGCCACCACCTCCCACCTGAGCCTCCTGTGGGGAGAAGGGAGCTCGGGACGGTGTCCTGGGCTCTCAGGTGGCCCTTAGCCCTCCTTGGCCTTCCTCCCCCGGGCCCTGCAGGGCTGGTCCCTGCCTCGCCCATGTCTCCACGAGTCTGCGCCCTTCAGCCTGCGGCCCGTTTCAGTCACGCCGCTGGGGCTCGTCCCCTGCCGCCCCAGGCGCCTCCTGCACCCTCGGCCTGGCCTCTCCGTCTCCAGTGGCGTCTCCGCTCTCCCTCTCCAGCTCTCTCTGTGTCTGTACTTGATTTTATCTGACGCTTCCTCTCGGTCATCCCCTGGGTCTCTTTCTCTCTTTCCATCTGACTCTGTGTCCTTGTTGTTCCGTCTCTTCCTTCCTGCTCTCTGTTGTCCTCCATTGTCTCTCCAAATCTCTCCATCTGTCTCATTGTCTTGTTCTTCTCTACGTGCGCACACGCACGCCTCCCGGCCTCTGTCTCCCGTGGTTGGTCGGTGTGTGTGTCTGTCTCTGTGGAGAGCCACCCCTTGGCCCCTCGTTGCCGCGGGCCCGCTGGGCCTGGGGGCTGCGGGTGGCCTGTCGCTCTGGGAAACGCAGCTGTTCTTTCCCTGCCTCGTCGTCGCTGGAGGTGATAGGTCCCTGTGACCCAGCCTGGCCCAGCGGAGACCTCCGGGGCCGCCTGAATGATCACCCGTCTGGGAGCCCTGCAAAGGCCGCTGTGGGTCCAGAGGAGCCGGGCAGGGAGAGGGCGAGGGAGAGGACGCGGGGCTCAGAGGGGAGCCAGGGACGCAGGGCAGGGGCCGGGCGGGACGCGGGCCTCTGCTGCCGCCCCTCTGCTGTGTGACCTTGGGCAAGCCCCTGCCCTTCTCTGGCCTCTGGTTTCTCTCTGGCCGAAGGAAGGTTATGGTACAGACTTTTTTTTTTTTTAATTTATTTATGTATTTTAGACAGAGAAGAAGGGAAGAGGGGAGGGAGGGAGAGAAACAGCAATGAGAAACATTGATCCATTACCTCCCACACCTGGGGACCCGGCATACGGCCCAAGCATGTGCCCTGACCAGGGATCAAACCAGCGACCCTTCGGTCTGCAGGCCGCGCTCAGTCCACTGAGCCTTCCCACCCACCGTGTGCAGCCTCTTTTCACCTAACAAGCCTAGAGCGTGCAGTCCAGAGAGACGGGGTGGAGTCCGCCTCAGCCACTGCTGGGGACCCGGGCGGGCTTAGAGGAGGAGTCGGGCTTTGTTGAAGTATTTATCATCACAATTGTCACACCTAGGCTATGGTCTCTCACTCTGGGCTATGCCTTCTTCTGAACACTCTACACATATTAGCTCACCGACTTATTAAGACCCATGAGTTAGGTGCTACTACTCCTAATTTACAGAGCGGGAAACTGAGGCACAGAGAAGTTAAGTGACTTGCCCATAGCCTAAGAGTTCACAGTTGGGATTTGAACCCTGGCAGTACTGGCTCGATGTTCAATGCTGTCAACCAGTATAGTAGACTACTTAAGCTTTTTAAGCACCTACTATATGCCAGAGGCTGGGGCCACAGTAGCGAACACAGAATGGGAGTGGGGGGCAGGGGAACAGTCGGGAGGCTTCTGGGAGGAGGAGACATTGAAAGTCAACCCAAAGGCTGAGCACCCTGGCCCCCTGTCCCAGCAGGTGCCTCCCAGCCCCGCACCCCAGGCACCCCCACAGGCCACGTGCGCTCAGAGCTCAAGACCAAGCAGCAGATCCTGAAGCAGAGGCGCAAAGCCCAGAAGATGCGCTTCCTGCAGCGTGGGGGCCTCAAGCAGCTCTCCGCCCGCAACCGGCGCCATGCCCAGGAGCTGCAGCGGGGCGCCTTTGGCCGGGGCGCCCGCTCCAAGAAGGGCAAGATGAGGAAGAGGATGTAAAGATGTCCCAGCCCTGCGGCCCCTCAGTTGGTCTGAGCGTGGATATCAGCAAACACTCCTGGGTGCCACTGTGTGCCTGGCCCTGTGCTGGGCATCCAGGAGCTCCTGTGCAGCCATCGTCCATGAAAAGGGGTGCTGGCCACAGAGGGCGGCAGCTGCCTCTGCCTAAGATGAGGACACTTGAACAGGGTCTTGAAGGGTGCATAGGAGTTTGCCAGCAAGGCCAAGCAGGCCCAGACCTGAACTGGCAACTCAGCAGCTGCTGCTTCCACGTATTCTGGGTTCAGAGGTGGCGGCCACATGGGTCTGAGCCGTGACTGCGTAAGGCCCAGTGATGTGTTTTTCATGTAATAAACCTTTATTGAGCTACAGTTCACTCGAGCAGTTGGAAGGGACAGACCCAGCCACTAAAGTCCCAGCTAGTGTGCCGGGGGGTTGAGAGTGTGTGGGCAAATCAGGGGTCCCCTGAGGGTGGGTTCTGTTGGTGTCCCCATTTTGCAGATGAGGAAGATGAGGCTCGGGATGAGCCAGCTGCCAGAAGTGGGATAGCCCCAGAGCTGGCGGCCATCCCCCTCCTCCTGCCAGGCCGGCCTCACAGCTGGGCGTGGAGAGCCCCAGGGAGAAGGACGTAGGGTCAGGGACAGAGGGCCCAGTGGCTCCTTGGCCTATGAGGGGACCCGGGTGTCAGAACCTGGCCTGGCCTTGGCCCTGCTGCATGGCCTGTGCTCCTCAGCCCCTGTGGGGTCCTGGGAAGGTCAAGGGCATCGTCCGGCAGCTGGATCATCAAGCCTGTGGTTACCGAGCACAGTGGAGGCGCCCTTGTGAGCAGGTGTTCTGTGAACGGGTGTCTGTCTCTGAGACCCTCTTGCTGGTCCTGTTGATTTCACTGGACTTACCAAACACTCGTCTAGAATTTACCAGAATTTGCACCAGGCCCCATTGCAAGCACCTGACACACACCTGTTTCCTGCCCCCAGCCACCCTGGAGGGAGGCCCTGGCCCTGGGTAGACGTGGGGTGGGTGCCCCCACACAGCCCACGTGTTTTGAGTGCTTTCTGTGTGCCCCTCATGGCCCACCACAATCTGAGCGGACACGACTCTCCCATCTTCAGAGGAGAGCCACTTGGCCCGCGCCCCGCAGCAAATGTGCACCTTGTCTCCGCGGAGAGGTCCCCAGGGAAGGGGGTCCCCTCCCCTACGGCTCACCTGGGTCAGGCAACGGAGCGGGGGGCCGCGGGCTCGGCCCGAGGAAGGCTGGCCAGCATGGCAGAGCGGTCCCGGATGAACAGCTTCACCTGGGGACCCCCAACACAGCCAAAGTCACATCCCAGCCCTGGGTGTCCAGCGCCCACCGCTGTGCCTGGGATGCTGAGAGGAAGGGGTCGGGGTGGAGACCCCTCTTAAAAGAGCAATGCTGGTGGTCCCCAGGGTCAGCAACTAGGCCTGAACTGTTCCGAGTTTAAAGCCTCCATCAGCCTCCTGAACGATTCCTTAGCAGATGTCCTCACAGTTTGCTAGCTGGCTATCACCTGTATTATAATTAAATTTATATTTTCACTTACATCGATTCATTTTTTTCCCTTTTAATTGGATCAGTCATATTCATTGGCGTATGACTTCACGCTCGTCTTCTCCATGGGTGGCCCTCCTTTATTCTGTTTTAATTAACTTACTTATTGATACGAACTTAATGAGCAGCCTGGATCCACTGCCAAGAGCCAGCGCACAACAGCGCACTTGGCGCTCCCCTTGGGCGCTCCCTTCACATTTGTCACTGAAACACACGGCTGAGAAGGAAACAACGTCTGCCCCGACACGGGAAGAAGTTTGTTGCCCGGGCCCAAGTATGGGTGACTGGAGAGGAACTACAATGAGAATGCAGCCACGTTACCGAATTTGTCAGCTGGTGTTGCTGACAGGGTGGGTCCCCGGCCTGGAGACCAGGGTGCACACATGGGGGCGGGGGGAGCCTAGTCTTCCCCACGTTGCCCTTTCTCCATGTTCAGATCAGAGCATTGGTCGAAAGGGGACCAGCTTTTGCTGTTACTGCATATCAAGCCCCTGTCCCTCTTGGTGTCATCTGGGTATATACCTTGGTCCCTGAGCCCCACTTGGGGGAGACAGTGGTCCACACAAACCCACCCAACTCAGGATGTGACACAAAGGAGGGCTCCAGGGACCCTTTGGTTGGAATCCTGGCCATGGGGCGCAGGGCGTGAGATGGGTGGGGGCAAAGGTCGCTGCCTCCCTTGGTTTCCCCCACTTCTCAAAGGGTCATGCTTTGGGAACCCCCCAGAAACATAACGTGTCTCTGAAGTCAGAAACCCCCTCCTGCGGCTATGAGCCTTGCAAACCTAATGACTAGAAAAACTGCATGTACTTGGTCCACAGCAACACGCATGATGCCACCATGCAGAAGGGCCACTACACAGCCCTGCACTCACCCTCTAGGCGCGCCACGCCTGCCCGTGTGGGGAGCAGGAGGGTCAGGCGACAAGTAAGACTCTGGAAGGTAGAGGAGTAGGTAAACGACACTCGCCTCCTCCCACAACCACGGCACAATTATAACAGAATTACAGAACAACTATCGCTCAGAACCGTGAGGAAGTAGAGCTGTATGGAAGTCCGACAGCTAAGGAATTAGAGAAACCGCATTCATCCTGATGGGCAGGAGGGACCGAGGGGCAGAGAATCGGAGACGCGGAACCAGCGTGCCCCAAACCCACGTGCGGTGGATATAAAACGGAGGGATATCCCGGGAGCGAGCCATCCCACCCCACACCAGACCACCCAGCCCAGGGTTCCAGTGCCAGGAAGATAAGTCTCCATAACTTCTGGCCCTGAAAACCAGCGAGGGTTGGATCCGCAAAGAAACTGGGATTCTCAGGCCCCTCCTCTTAGAGGGCCTCGCGCCACACACGGACTTACTCAGACTCACTCCCTTTGGGCTCCAGCCGCGGGGCAGCAGCTTGAAGGGCACCAGTGGCACATAGGGAGGAACGGATGTGTCTGCCACCAGGACAAGAGCTGGGCAACAGCGTCCTCTTGGCCCTTGGACCTTTTCTGAGGCCTCCCCCACACAGAGCCACAGTGCAGGGCACCATATCTGAATCGCCATCGACCTGGCTCAGCTGGTAAGCCCCACCCTGACAATTACCTAAGGGTCCACCCCATCCAATTTAGGGGCCCACCCAAGCAACCCTCCCATCCCGGTAACAGTGGCTTTCCTGTAGGAAGGGCTGGGCTAGGCGTGCCCTTCCCCCCCTCCTAAATCCACTCAGATAAGCCACAGCGGAGCCCAGCCTCCACACCGCTTGCGGAGGCCCCAGGCCCCGTGCTAGCAGCAGCCCCTCTGCAGGTCGCTTTACAGCTTTACGCCAAGGGGCCCCAGACAGAACCCAGGTGGGGGCTGACCTTGGCTTGCACCACCCGGGGAACCCCAGAGCCTGCGCACCCAGTGGACAGCTGTAGGCCATGCCAGGGCACCATCCAACCACCTCCACAAGCCATGGAGACAGGTGGTTGCTGGCCAGGGATCACAGCCAGTCCTGCCAGCTGTCGGGCCTGGGTAAATCCCTTCCATTCACCTGCTGACAGCAATCAAGGGTCACCTACAAGAGCCCTGGCCGGTGTGGCTCAGTGGATTGAACATCAGCCTGCAAACCAAAAGGTTGCTGGTTTGATCCCTGGGTCAGGGCACACGCCTGAGTTGCGGGCCAGGTCCCAGGCTGGGGCTGTGAGGCAGCTGCCTGATGTTTCTGTCCCTCTCTTCCTCCCTCCCTTCCCCTTTCTCTGAAAATAAATAAACAAAATCGTTTTTTTTTTAAAAGTCAGTCTTGACCTGGTTTCTTATTGATGTCACTTGTTTGTGCTGTTTGATCGTGGGACAAAAGAGGGACTTAGTATAAAGGTACACCCTGCATAAGCGGGGACACGGAGACCCACAGCGTCACGACTTCCTTCTGGCCACACAGCAGATGGCTGTCAGAACCAAGACCAACCCAGGGGACCCACGCAGCCACCGAGCCCATATCGGTGGTGCTGGGAGCGTGGCCTCTGATCACAGACGGCCATGCTTAACGCAGAGAGGCGCGATTCCAGGCACTGTGATGTTCCCAAGATTTGGGGGCTGGAGGTGACAAAGGAGCCCTCACCTGCTCCAGCTGCCCCTCGGTGTCCTCGATGTCCAGGACAGGTGGCTGCCTCTGATGCTGGCACACCAACTGAAACAGGTTGAGCGCTGACATCCTGGCGCGTCCCAGCAGCAAGGTCTTCTCGGCTGCTGCGTTCTGGATCTGCACCCACTTGGATTCCTGGAGAACGCCCCGCCCTTTCCGGATTAAGGTGAGCTGGCCGGCGGAGGGCGGGGCCTCATCCCCTACCGCCGGCGCTCTCCGAGAGAGGCGGGCAGGCCCCGCGTCCGGCACAGACAGGACTGGCCTCCGGTGCCCTAAAGTGCTTTCTGATGACGGAAACCCGCGCGTTAGTGCCGCTGCCCCTCTGGAATAAGCATCGCCCATCTGTTCTTATCAGCCCTGGCGCTCTATGCCGGCGGTGGGAGCCTGGGGTCCCGGCGCCCGCTGGGCCCTACCCAGTGCAGCGTGCGCTCCCGCGCCGCCTCCAGGCGCTCCAGCAGCTGCGCTCGCCGCTGGCTCTGCTGGAGCAGCTCGTCCCGCCAGGTGTCCCGCAGCCGCTGCAGCCGCGCGCGCGCCTCCTCCAGCTCGGCCAGCCGCTGGCGCTTGGTGAGCTTCAGCGCGGCCAGCGTGTCGGCCAGGGCGTCGAAGCGCGACACGAGCTCGGGGATCTCCTGGAACTGGGACAGGGTCCAGAGAGCGACTCACCGGGCCTGCAGCCCGCCTGCCCTCCGCACCGCCACCTCGCTTTCCGGCCCCTCCCCACTTAGCCCACCTGTGAAACGGGGGCAGCCACAGCCCCTGCCCCAGAAGTGGGGATTACTCCACCCCTACCCATTCGGCCTAGCTAAACTCCCTGCCTGTGATTAATATTGATTCGTTGTCTCATTCAACTAATATTTATTGAGTGTCTGGATCTATCTGCCTCCGCCTGCCTGTGTGTCCTTGAGGACGAGTTACCTTGCCGAAGCTCGATTTCCCCATCTGTAAAATGGGGTTGACAATAATAGGGGGGAGAATTCAAGAACAAAGCGCGCCCCTGGCATACAGTTAGTGCTCAGTAAGTGGTGATTCCTGACATACAATCAGCGCTCCAGTAGTGCACCCTTCCAAAGCCGCCCCTGAGGCCACTCAGCGCTGCACGGTGGCCCTGAACCCCAAAACTTCCTGCAGGGCACTCACCTCGGGCAGCTGCTCTAGCGCTTGCTCCAGCAGGCGCGCGCAGGGCTCCAGCCGCTGCAGCCGACGCTGCAGCCGCGCGCGCTCCCGCTGCAGCTCCTCCAGCTGGGCCCGCAGCCGCAGCGCCTCGGCTTCCTGGCGGCCGGCCCGGTGTCGCTCCTCCGCCGCCCTCCGCGTCGCACGGCTGCGCCGGGCCTCGGAATCCTGGGAGGAGGGATGGGAACGGGGCGAGGATGCTCAGGACTCGGGAGCCCGCAGAGCTCGCGCTTCCACCTGGCCCCAGCATTAGCGTGTTGAGCCTTGGGTTGCAAATAGATGGCCCGCGGGCCACACCCAGTAAGAACCCGGTTTGCAACCCTCACCGCTCCCCACGGTTTTTAAACTCCTTCAGACAGTGCATGACAAGTCTGGCCCCGACAGAACCGTGACTTTGTGACCCCGTGACCTGCCTCCCCCGCACCCCCCGCAGGCTCCACCTACCTGCAAGAACTTGTCAAAGCGGTGAAAGGACCCCTTGAGCTCCTGCTGCTTCTGTTGCAACCGGTCCCGGCGCTCTTTCAGGACAGCCATTCTGGTCTGGAAAGCCTGGGGTGTGAGGAGCGGGCCGCTGGGTGTGTGTTGGGGGTGGGGGTGGGGTTCAAGTCCTCCAGCACCTACAGGTTCACATTTAAATCCTCTCCTCTGTTGTCGCTGACCTCGTCGCTGCGCCCCTGCTCAAATCCGCCAGTAATGGAGGCCAAGTGCCCTCCTGCAGCCCCTGAATGTCAATGTCCTTGCCCTTCCTTCAAGCCTCGTCCCACCCTCTCCCCTCTGACACTCTGTCTTCCAGCCACTTGACCACCTGTGTTTTGTCCTTGCCTTCCAGTCTTTGTATACACAGGCTGCTTTCTCTGTTTCTTCCTTCTCACAGTCCCCCTTTGCTGGGCAAGCTGACTTGCCCCTCAGCAATCCCTAAGGCATCACTGCCTCCAGGAAGTCCTCCTTGATCACCCCCATGTGGAAATAGGGGCTTCCTCTGGGCTCCCACAGTTCTTCTCAGTGCTTCCCTCCTGACGGCATCACCAGCTGGACACTGGCCTGTGTCCTTCTCTAGACTGCAAGCCCCATGGGGGCAGGGACCATGGCGAGACCTCTAGATCCCAGTGCGGTACCCTGCACAGAGGTGCTCGCTCAGTGCACACTAATTCGCACCAACAGCCGATCTCATCTGATCCCCATTTGACAGATGAGGAAACCAAGCCTCAGAGTGGTGCAATGACTTGTCTAGACCTTGGAGCTAATAAGTTGGCTCCATTGTTTCCCATCCTCTGCTCACCACCATTTTTTTTTGGTCTGGGGTCCCCCAAACATCCCAGGGCTACAGTGGGGACTCACCTCCTTCTGGGCCTGCAGGCCCCGGTCCGCATCTGCCAACTCCTGCCTCTTCTCCAGCAGACTCAGCAGTGGCGGGAAGTGGTTGGGATTCTGTTCCGGGATCTTCCTGGAGGGGCTCAGGGAAGAGGCGGGGGGTGAAGAAGGGAAGAGCCAGGGCTCCCAACTCCTCCCTCATGCCTGAAATGCCCTCCTTAGCCACCTACTGGCTGCTGAATTCTTCATTCATTCAACAAATTGTACTGTGCACCTAGTAAGGACCAGGCACCATTCTAGGTGCTGGAGCTGCAGCTGAGAACAAGATAGACAGAAACCGGTCCTGCAGGAGCTGGTACCCTGCTGCAGCCACAGGAAATAAAGCTCATGCATAATAAGAAATAATGCCAGGACACGGGGGGTGCTAAGGTGAAAAACCCCTCAATGGGGAGGTCAAAACGTCTCTGTAAGGAGGTGACAGTTGAGCAGAGATTAGAAGGGGGAGAGGGAGCGAGCCCTGTGGATATCCGCAGGGAACAGATTCTAGGCCAAGGGAACAGACACTGCAAAGTCCCCGAGGGAAGGACCTTGGTGAGCAGGAGCAGGCGGGAGGGAAACGGGGAGGAGAGAGGTGAGGGAGGACTTTGGCCTTGGCTGTGAGTGAGGTGGGGCCCCCTGGCCGCTGGGGGTGGGGCAAGAACAATAGGAGGGGCAGAGCAGCTGCAGGAGACCAGTGAGAGGTAACAGGGGAACAGAGGTACTGTGGCTGATCGGGGTGCCTGTAGGGCCCAGGTGAGGAGGGCTCAGTTCTGGATGCAGTTTGAGAGCTGAGCTGATGGAGTGATGAGGGAGGTGAGAGAGGGGTCCCAGGCGAACCTAGAACTAGGAACTGGGAGGATGTTGGTGATGGCATAAGGCTGAGTGGGGGCGGGGGAGCTCAGCCCTTTGCTATGGCCAAGTTGAGCTGAGGCACCTGTTAGAGCTCCAGGGGGGTCCAGGAGGCAGCCCCACAGGGTCGGCTGTGTAGGGAGCAGAGAGGACACACTAACCCCATTTGGCAAGGCTTTCCCAGCTCCGGTTCCGGAGAAACCTTGCCATTTTACAGCTTCCAGGACTGAGGCTGGGCCCCTCAGTCACTCTGCCAAACACAGAATGGGCATGCGACAAGCTTCCTCCACTTTTCCTTTAAAATGCAGTTCGCAGGCACAAGGGGCAAGAGAGTTCACAGATTAATTCCTTCCCACCTGGTTTCAAATGATTTAATCTCAGCCGGATGTCAGCTGGGGGTGGGAATCAAGGGCAGGTTAGAGACCTTGGGGAAGTCGCTGGTTCTTTGAGCCTTGTTTCCCCTGCCCCCGGCCCTGCCTGTGAAACGGGGGCAAGGATCTCCCACCAGGAAGAGTCCGAGGAAGCCAGGACCCACAGGTGGGGGGCTCCACCCACGCCTGCCCTCCTTGCCACCCGGCACCACTCACGGAGGCAGCTTCTCTTGCGAGGCCAGTCGGATGTACTCCTCCCAGGGAACTGCCATGCTCCCGGCGACTGCTCCCGTTTGCCGTCCACCGGGCGGGAGTTCTGCGGAAGCCCGGGAGGCCCTGGGGGCTCCTGATGGAGGGCGGTGCGACAGCGCGTTCAGTACTCCTGGAGGCAGCCACCAAGCAGGCCCTGGTTCCCCAGGCAACCGTCGACACTACATTCCGTTGCCTGGCCGAGGCCTGGGAAATCCACCCGGGAGGGAGAGGGAGGGGCTGCCGGGAGCGGAGCAGCCTGTGCCCCTTGGGCGAGAAGGCTTCCGCTCCGGCCCGACTTGGGTGCCTGAGGAGAGGTCATGGGTCCCTCGGCCAGGAATTGACCCCTCTTGGCGCCCGTGTCTGGTCGAGCCTCTTCCTGGCTGGGTGGGCATGGGGTGGGACCACACCAACGTGACCACAGGTCTGCTCTAAAAAAAATTATTGGGCACCCACTGTCACGAGGTCGCCCGTGGGGCCATGTACTCCCTGGCAAGGTGCGGAGGGCTGGCCGTATTTCAGCCCTTTGAGGGTCCACTTCATTTGCTGGCCTCGTTTCCCGGAGCCCCCGGCCTGGTCAGGGAGATAAGGAAGGCCAGCTAGAGGCCAGGTTGGAAGAGACCCACGGTCTAGATTTGGAGGATGGGGGGGAGGAGTGGGCATAGTTGGAGCAATTACTGTGGGTCAGTCACTGTGCCGAGCACTCTCCCTGTGGTATCTGATTTAACCCTTAAAACAGCCCCGTGGGGAAGGAAGAGGGAAAAGTACCCAGAGTAAAATTACAAATGCCCATGGGTCTTCCGCCTGGAAATGGCAAACACGAGCATCTTGTCATCTTTGCTTCTGATCATTTTTTTTTCTGCTTTAAATAATTTCTTTTTTTCATGGAAAGAAACACATTTTCTTTTCTTTTAGAAACATATTTTCTTATTGCGGGCAACACTCTTTAAAAATCTATAGTTGCTTGTAATACCTCCATTGCTTGAAACAACTCCCAAGCATTTTATTAGAGCATATTTAAAAAAATGGAGCTGAAATAATGTACACTTTATCTCTGAGCAGTTTGTATCAGATTGCACAGATTGTCTGCATAAATTGATGTGAAATTACAAGATACATGGTCTAATTTTTTTCTTGATTTAAAAAAATATTGAGGTATAATTTACATAAAGTAAAATTTATTTTTTCACATGCAGTTCTGTGAGTTTTGGCAAATGCATAAAGTCGTGCATAACCACCACCACAGTCAAGATACAGAACATTCCTGCCACCCCCAAAAGTCCTCCTGTCCCTTTGTAATCAACCCTTGTCCCCACCTCAGCCCCTGGCAGCCCCTGTTCTCTAGCCCTATAATTTTGCCCTTTTCAGAAGGTCATAAATAGAATTATACACGGTGTAGCCTTTCGAGTCTGGCCTCTTCCACCTAGTAACGTTCGCTTGCGACCCATTCATGTTGATGTGTGTATCAGTAAGGCACATTCTGTCTCATCGCTGAGTAGTATTTCATTGTACACCATGGTTTGCTTATTCCTTCTCCAGTTCGGTTATTTCTAGTTCTGGGCAGTTATAAAGATGGTCTGTACTCGTGCACTGTTTGTGTGTGTGTGAATACAAGCTTTCATTTTACTTGTGTAAATACGTCCAAGTGTGATTGTCAGGTCATACGATAAGTGTACGTGGAACTGTATAAAAAGCTCAGCAAGCTGTTTTGCAGCGTGGCTTACCATTTTGATATTCGCACTAGCAACGCACGAAGAGTTCTGATCTCTCCGTGTCCTCTCCAGGAGTTGGCATTGTCAGTGTTTTAAAAAGTCCTTCTGTAGATGCGCAGCTATATGAATGGCTCTTTGACTTTGAGAGCATTGTAGGTTCACCTGCAGTTTAAGAAATAATACACAGAGGTGCCACCTCCCTTCACTCAGTCTCCCCTGACGGTGACCTCTTGCACAATGACGGGACACTATCACGACCAGGAAGTCAGCATTGACACAATCCACTGACCTTACTCAGATCTTGCGGTTTCACACGTGCTGGTTTGTAGGGCTGTGTATTTAGTTCTACACGGTTTTATCACATGTAGACTCTTATGATCACCGCAGTCAAGCTATAAACCATTCCTCTCAAAGATCCCTCCTGCCACCCTTTAATAGCTGCCACCGGCCCCTTCCCTCCCGCCTTCCTAACCCCCGGCAAGCATCCATCTGTTCTCTGTGTGGTTTTGTCACATCAAGGTTGTTACATAACTGAAATCATGTAGCGTGGAACCTTTTGAGAGTGGCTTTTAAAACTCAGCTTCACCCCCTTGAGAGCCATCCTCATTGTTACATATATCTGTGTTTATTCTTTCTCTTTTTAAAGAAGATTTTATTTATTTATTTTTAGAGAGATGGGAAGGGAGGGAGAAAGAGGGAGAGAACCATTAACCAGCTGCCTCCCACAGGTTGCAGGTCCCCAAATGGGGACCAGTTTGCAACTCAAGACATGTGCCCCGACAGAGAATCGAACCAGTAACCCTTCCGTTTGCAGGCCAATGCTCAATCCACTGAGCCACACCAGCCAGGGCTGTGTTTGTTCTTTCTGATTACTAAGTGGCATTCCATAATATGGATGGGCAATGTTTGTTTAACCATTCAGGTCGAAGGACATTTGGGTTGTGTCCAGTTTGAGGCTGCTCTGAATAAAGCTACTCTGAAGATCCAGGTGCCGGGTTTTATGTAAACGTAAGTTGCCATTTCTCTGGTATGGCAGGTGCCCACGGGCACAATTGTTGGGTCCTATGGTAAAGGCATGTTCCGTATTTTTGTTTGTTTTTTAAAAAAGAAACTGCCACATTCTTTTCCAGAGTGGCTATACCATGCTACATTCCTACCTGGAATGTGTGCATGGTCTAGTTTTTCTGCATCCTTGCTATTACCCCTATTTTTAAAAAGACATTCTGATAGGTATGTTGTGATATTCATCGTGGTTTTACTTTGCTTTTCCCTAATGGCTAATGATGGTGAACATCTCCTTGTGTGCTTATTTGCCATCTGCGTATCCTCCTCAGCAAAATATCTGTTCATGCCTGTTGCCTGTGCTCTAATTGGATTGTTTTTTCCTCCCACTGTTGAGTTTTGAGCCTTCTCTATGCAATCTACATGTATCGTATGACTATGTGTTCCAGGTGTCCTCTGTCAGATATTTATTTTCTCCCGGTCTGTCGTTTCTCTGTGCATCCTCTTCACATGGTCTTTTGCACAGCAGTGTTTTAAGTTGCGACGAGGTGCAACTTGCCACCTTTGTCTTCATGGATTGAGCTTTTGGTGTCAACTCTAAGATGGGATTTGAACTCAGGCTATGTGGGTGGAGAGTCAGCCTTCTTACCCACACACTCCGGAGGCAGGCAGCCCTTCTTGGGCCTTTCCCTCCTCAGGCCCATTCCCTCCCTGCCTTCCCTCTGCTGAGGGTACCACCACTTTGAAGTCAGTATGCATCCTTCCTTTCTTAATGTCTATTGTCTCAGAGGCACATTTTTGCAAATGTTTATTGAGCACCTACTATGTGCCCGGCACTGTGGGAGGATGCAGCAGTGGCTAAGACAAGACCTGCCCTCGTGGGGCTTGCAGGCTGATGGGGAGGCCAGGCCAATCACCCAGCCCTGTGAATATGTCATCACCCTCTGACGGGGCGAGGAGGAGAGGTCTAAAGCACAAGGAGGGGACAGGGAGGCCTTCTTGAGGAAGTGACATGGGGACCCAGACCTGAAGGGGGAAGAGGGGGGGTGATTAGAGGAGACAGAGAGTATTCCAAGTGGTGAAAACAGCCTGTGCAAAAGCCCTGAGGCAGGAAGGTGGGGCCCCTCCCAGACGAGAGCAAAGGTCTGTAGGTTGGTGGGCAGAATTCAAGGATGAGGGTCAGGATAGCATAGGGCCAAGGAGTGGCCAGACCTGTGCTCCAAGTGACAGATGAGGGAGACAGGTGATTCCTCCAAGGACCCGAGGCGGAGAGATGATGGTCCCTGGCTCTTGTTGATATGGAGGTCACAGCACCCATCCCTGCCCTGGAACTGTTCACAGCACAGAGGAAGGGAGAGAAGGTCCCTATGCAAACAGCTTGGCTTCGGAGGCCTGGAACTGGGGGGCCAGCTCCATGGGGCCAGCCACCGGGGCGCTGCTCCCAAGTCCTGCTGGTGCTCTGCTGCCACACTGCTGAGGCTGAGGTCCCAGCCTCCCACTCGTCTTTGTCCCCATGTCCTGGGGGGTGGGTTGGGTCGGGCTTCTGAACGACGGGAGGACAAGGCTCCTCAGCTGCCCTTGCCCGTGGCCACGAACCCACAAGCTCTGGAAATACCCACTCTCCCCACCCCCACCCCCAAGTCTCAGGCTCCGGTGGCTTTCCCCTTCCTGCTTCTCCATTCCAGGGCAGAGGCGTGTGTGTGCAGTGGGGGCGGGGGGGGGGGGACTTTGGAAAGTCGGGCTGAGGAAGAAGGAAGCGGGGTGTGGACTGACAGACACCTTGTTTTCAGACCACGGGAGGAGGGGACTTACCATGCTGCTTCCTCGGCAGCCAGCCCGCAGGAGGGGGTTTGGAAATCTTGCTCACCGCTGCCTCCTGCCCCACGTGGCTCCCTGCCCAGATTCGTGCTCAGCGCTCACAAATGGGGCTTTGTGTTCCCAAGACAAAGGACACACTTCTTACCCCAACCTGGACCAGGGCTTATCTGTCTTGCTCCGATCCGGGCCTCAGAAGAGACGGTGCTGCTTTCCAAGAGGGGAAACTGAGGTCTAGACCGGAACAAGCCTGTGGAGCCAGAAGAGGAGTCTGCCTTGTGCTTTGGGGGAGAAGAGGGAGAGGGGAGGTGGCGGGTTGGCAATGATCAAGCTGCCATCCTAGGCACCATGGGGAGAAAGGAAGTAAAAAATAATATGACAACGATCATATTCCAGATTCCACCCCTCGAGGGGAACCGACTCCTATTTAACTCAGCAGAGAGTGTGTTAAGTCTTTCTCCTGTGCCAAGCGGTGTGGGAGGTGTGGTATGAATCAGACACTGTCCCTGACATTTACGAGATAAGACAGGCATGTAAATCACCACAAAACAAAGGGACAAGAGACCAAGGTCACAGAGCCAGTGCCAAAGGGCGGGGGTCGCGGGCTGACATCACGGCCTTCCCTGCTGCCCCCCAGGGCTTCCCGGAGGCTGGGAGCC